CTGGCATATCTCTGGAAGTGGAGGCCATCCTTGGTTGAGTATTAGTATGAGAGGGATAGTTCTGTACAGGTACGGAATCTACCATCGTGTAGAAAGGTAAAGGATGGCTGCGTGATAATGATGGAGCAAAGTGAAAAGGCGTTTCACCTTCGAGATGGCGACAATATGGCTTGGTTCCGATATCCCGGAGGTGCATTGGTACTTACGTTAGGTTAAAGGAAAACTCACATAATCGGGTGCGGAGTGAGACCACGTGAGGAACCTCGAGGTGCCGGAGTCGCGAAGTTTCGTGGTGCCGTTTTGAACGTGGGCTTGTGTCGGACATCCGTCCAGTGGTCACCTAGCAACGCGGTCAGATGACCTGCTGCACTCCAGAAGGTATGGCCAGGTCTACAGCGAGCTTCAATGTTTGTAGCGGTACCTCAGGTATCTGATGCTCATGTGACAGGGCGAGGCAGGTGCTCATCATCTGGCTCTTGCCTAGCAAGCATGCCTCCTGCCTTCATGTATGGTTGTTGTTGGCCGAACTTCCATCAAATCAGTCCAATTGCTTGGACTGATAGTACAACGGAAAGTTCCCGTCGGCAGCTAAGTTGACGCCTTGTCTGTTTGTTGGTTGAGCGCAGGTTCGATTCCTGTCGGGGCCAATAATTTTTCTTTCTTTCCTTTTTGTATTTTTGTGGCATCTCATTCGTACGATCTTGCCCACATGCATGCCAATTATTTATTCCTGCTCAGCACCTGGGTACACAGTTGCGTACCCGCGATGGGCAAGCAGCGGCTGCCGTGCCTTGTGCCTGCCAACTTGGTGTATCAGAGAAAATTGAGATCTCGGCACTGCTTGCACCTTCTCAGTACAAGTTGGAGTATCCATCTCTCAGGTCCAGACTAATGGTATGAGCTGATCAAGTTGCTTCTTCACAGGTTTTCATCCTCGATATCGTCACCTGGTGCACAGCAGTGGCTTAGCCCCTGTATTCTCAACGTAGATGAATTTCATGCCTCGCCGTGCAGCTCAACGGCATGACGATCTCAGTACTTGTAGTTGTAGCATTCGATTATTTCTAGTCTTTCCTTATTCTGTCCCTCCAAGCATCGTCACGGATTATTACTGGACGCAACGCGCCAGAACGTTGGTAGGGCCTGGCGGTAGCCTCACAGCGAACATAGCCGCGAGGATCTGTCTGCTGGGTTCTCAGTCTCAGGAACCATATCATTCAATCCATCCGGTAACACATTCACCCTGGGCTACTGTATAGGTAGTTATTATGTCTAATAAGCGTCTGGGGATATAGAGGTTGATGCCCCTTCGAGAGATGGCGTCCCTCTACTAGGGATACGACGTTGCCATCGCATATGGGGGGCCACTTAGTGGCGCTTATGAAGTACTGTTGCTGTGAATGAATATCTACCATGCATACCAATGTGTGCTTGACATTCAATGCGATGTGCTCCCAAGGTTCCGTTACGGCACCTACACTTGTCCCACATAAGTTCCGTACGCTAGCCCCGATTCAATCTTCTGACGATAACAACAACGCGACACCCTCACTTTGCGATAAATCATAAAAAAATCAATTTACCGTGGATATCAACGAAATCAGTACGGTTTTGAGTGGCACTCGCCAGCCGAACGGTGAATTTATTTCAGAGGCGCGTGCAGGCATTACAGCGCGCGTAGAGGGCCGCAGTCGTAGGGATGTCGCACTCGCCTACGGCACAGAACGCGTCGAAACCATCTCTGAGATTTGCTCACGTGCTAACACTACTAAAACCATGCATACTGCACAAAAGAAGTGAGCTCCCAGGCTTCTTTCGCATGGGCAAGAACGCCATCTAGTTAATTTGGCTCGGAGGTTCCCTCGTCTCTCGTGGGAGGCGCTCAAAGCCAAAGCACGCGTCACCTGCCACACGGAGACCATTGTGAGGGCTCTCCGTCACCATGACCTCAAGAAATGGCGCGCAGTGAAGCAAATCTCTCTCACGGAGGATGACGCCGTGAAACGGCTTATTTGGGCGCAAAAATACCGCATATAATGCGCTCAAAAGGAGTTAATAATGGCCCTTTTCTCTGACAAATATATTATCCAAAATGATCCCAATAGACCTAGCAAATAGGTCATCTGTCTTTCTAAAGAACAGTACTATAAGGATCTCATGAATACATAAAGCCATAGGAGAGCCCGTATCTCGATAATGGTCTGGGGTTTAATGTGGTTACACAATAACGAAGATGGCCTAGGCAAATTGGTCTTCTATAAAGGAGATCCGGATACACCACGCAGAGGAGTGCTTGCCAGACGTTATTAACAGGTCCTGGAGGAAGGTCTGTTTCCTTTCTATGAGGCAGGGAACTCTTTTCAGCAAGATAATGCTCCTGTGCATGTCAAAAGAGGCTCAGCGGAGTGGTTAGAGGAGCACGGGATCTGGACTATCAACTGGCCTCCTCACAGCCCCGATTTGAACCCCATTCAGCACATTTAAGCAGCCCTAAAGAAGAAGATAAGGGAAATAGAGCCTTATTTTTAAGACCTAAAAGATAATATCGCTCACCAGGCGTAGACTAGAGAGATAATCCAAGCCGCGTGATCAGAGTTGGATCCTGACCTCCCGAAGAAGCTCATCGAATCTCTCCCCGATCGGATCGCGGCAGTGATTCGGGCGCGCGGCTGGTACAACCATTACTAAACCGCTATCAAATGCATATTTTGTTATAATTTTCAGCCTTGTGATGCGTTCGCAGTTGAGCAGTGAAGGCAAGTCAGGGTGAGGCATGCCTGCTATTACCCGTATATTCATTGCGCCGTCAATGTGAAGCTTCCTAAGAGCATTATCTCCCTCGTCCGAGCCCAAGACGTACTCTACTTACCCAATTGATTGCTGGGTTCATCGGCGGTTCGCTCCAGGAGGCAGGGTCGGTTACGACGGCGACATCGTGCAGGTTCTTCCAAGCCCGGCCAGATTCCCCGGAGGTTGTCAAAAGATGATAGGCCGCGGCACACGGGTATGTCAAAATCGTACGTGGACCTGAACAGCCTCGTAGATCTTGTATATGGTCGAGCACGTAGTAAAAAGAGCCTGCGCGGAATGCCCCTAGGCTTTTGATTTCCCAGGCTAGTTGACCAAGCTACTGGTACATGGTGGTATCGAATATGTAATACCTGACATGAGGTCTATTAATCTGTATAAAATCCCGTAGTTCTTTCAAGGCTGACGCATGCGAGAGGAATGGGTTGGAGGGATACCGGAGCTGCTCGACTGTGAGATGCAGTGGAAAGCTGTTCCTGAAGCACTTGTCTGGGAGTATTATCAGGCTGTTGAGTCTGCGGCAAGAAGTGAGTGGGCTGTAGCCATGGGACATCACGTATCCAGAAGTGTTCTTCCGACGAAGGAACCGTGTGGACTTGGGCGGCACGCTGCGTCTGCCATGAGGTTCACCATCAGTATATCATTCCCCACACAATGAGTAAGCAACCAAGTCAGTGCCAAGCTTAATAGGGGCGCCAATGCCAAGCATATGAACTTTGGAGTCGGGGTTGGTCCCCAGCTGCCAGCTGCTAATGTGGCGCAAGGTGAGGATTGAACACCGCTTTCTACGAGCAGGCCGCAAAGGCATATTGTTGGGTCTCCTTCGTAGAACGTAGTTGTTGACGTACTGACAAATATAAGGTAGCGAAGGTAGATGAAGACACCTTCACGTGTGTCCGTCGCGGCGAACGCGCATCATTGAGTAGAGCCACAGGAAGAAGACAAGGAGTCTGTGAAAGATAAGATAAGATAATATAAGAATACTACGAAGCCTATCGGCAACTGCGCCAAGCTCCCGCCTCGGCAGGTGGTTGGACACGGCCAATCAAGGCAATTCGCGGCAATCTGCGGCTTACCATCCAAAGCCGTCAACGGCAAGAAAATATCGACGCGGCCCCTCTTGCTCTTCAATTCGGGCGCCGCGCACCTTTCAGCCTCACCGATGCAGACCTGTGGAACAAGCGCAGGCCAGGGTGGAGTTAATATGATGTCAAGCAAGCCAAGGACCGACCACAAACATTCGAGAACCTTTGCGATGCTAGAGGGCAAGCAGATACTCTTACGTCAAGCGACGGGGAAACCGGCTATGCCCGTCCTGGGTGAGGTAGGCAGAGGCGAGGGCTCTTCCGCACCTTTGCCCCTTCGCCTTCGGTCTCGCGAAAGCCGCCATCGTGATGGGGCTTCATACGGTCCAAGGCTCAGTCCATGAAAGATAATGGAAACCTGACCCGATCCACCAGCGTCCATGGACTACAGCAAACCAATCGACCGGCCCGTACGATGACTGGAGAAGACTTTGTCTCGAAACCGCCTCCGCTCCCCACTCACATGACTTTGAGCCGCCGCCTGCAACCGAAGCTCTGGGAGAGACTTCCGCGATAGGCAATTCTTTGAGAGGATGACACGATGCAGTGCCATTGATGGCACCGGAACGCAACCCACCTGACACCACAGTACGGGGAACTGGCACGCAAGGCACCGAAGAGGCAATGCGATGGGTTCTAGAAGGACACATGGAAGCCGTCTCCCGAGGGCCAAGCTGTCCAAGGCGGCGGTATCGCAGGATTTGCACACCGCATTACTTGGTTTGCCTTGCCGTGCATGCTCTTCCCATATCGCAAGGGCGTCAGAACTAGGGACGGGCGCCCTAAAATTGACGGGATGACAGTGGAAACCTCAGGGAATGCTGGAACAGCTCCGTCCCTAGTCGCCGATTGGTGGGTGAGTCACTGACATCCACTCCGATCTCAAGGTGTACCTAAGCATTTATACTTTGCGGTTGTCTCGTGTTACAACCTTCTTTGTTGTCTCTTTTCCCTCATACTCCAACCTGTTTCTATTTGCCGAGGTAGTTCCCCATCTATATCACAACTTGTGCATCTTGGTCCTTATCCGGCAACATCATCGACGCATATCACCTCGCTTGAGCCACGCTACCGTATTTCCGGACATCACATCAAGTCCACATCACTATGGCTCCATCTGCGATTCCGACAACTAGCCACACTGGTGAGCCGGAGTTGGATCTCACCTCGTCGGCCATCGAGCACCGCAGGACGGAGAATGTCCAGTCCAACGGTAGCACCGAGAGCCACGCCAATGGCGTCTCACAACCCAACATCAAGGAGCTCGACGCCTCGAAACTGACATACACTTTCACCAAGGAACCTCGTGAGGTTCCGGCTCCCGGCGTCTTCAACCTCAACGACCAGAGCATCTGCACAGACCACATGATCACCGTCGCATGGTCGGCCAAGACCGGTTGGAAGACGCCTGAGCTCAAGCCGTACGGCCCGCTGTCTCTGATGCCCACGGCTTCCGTTCTGCACTACGCGACGGAGTGCTTCGAGGGGCTGAAGGCGTACCGCGGCTTCGACGGCAAGCTGCGTCTCTTCCGCCCGGACTGCAACAGCGCACGCATGGTCATGTCGGCCGTGCGCATCAGCCTTCCTTCCTTCAGTCCGCCGGAACTGGAGAAGCTGCTGCTGGCGCTGATGGCCGTCGACGGACCTAAGTGGCTCCCGCGCGAGCGTCCGGGTAGCTTCATCTACCTGCGCCCAACCATGATCGGCACGCAGTCGCAACTGGGCGTGCAAGCACCCTCCGAGGCCCTGCTCTACCTCATTGCTAGCTACATGCCGGCCATGGACTCGCCTGCCGGCGGCATGAAGCTGCACACGTCGCCTGACGACATGGTCCGCGCCTGGGTCGGCGGCTTCGGCTATGCTAAAGTTGGCGCTAACTACGGACCATCGCTGCTCGCGACACAGGAGGCCCGCGCTCGCGGTTTCGGCCAAATCCTGTGGCTCTACGGCCGCGAGGGCCAGTGCACTGAGGCCGGCGCCAGCAACTTCTTCGTGGTGTGGAAGTGCAAGGAGTCTGGAAAGACGCAGCTCGTCACGGCCCCGCTCGACGACAGACTCATCCTAGACGGCGTCACCCGCCGCAGCGTCCTGGCGCTGGCGCGGGAGCGCCTCGGGGACGAGGTCGAGATCGTGGAGCGCAAGTATACCATCGAGGATGTCCTGCAGGCGGACGAGGAGGGCCGGCTCGTCGAGTCGTTCGCGGCCGGCACGGCCTACTTCGTCTGCCCCGTCTCGGTGATCCACCACCGCGGGCGCGACGTCAAGGTGCCCATGGGCAAGGCGGGCGAGAGCGGCCAGCTGACGTCCCAGATCAAGGGCTGGCTCCGGGACATCATGTACGGCGGCGAGGACCACAAGTGGGGTGTCGTCGTGCCGGAGGAGCAGTAGATGTACCATCGCCTGTGCACCTGCCGGACTACGCATCCAACCAACCGGTCTATGCGATGCGCAACTCCCTGTCTAGTGGCTCAGCCTCATCGTACCGTCGCCTGTCAGATTGCAGTCCGGACATGCACCCAGCATCAACTTCGCTCGCTGGCACAGAGGTTGTGCATCCCGGCTTTGCATGGCAATCGCCCGACCGACAGTCCTGTCGTTGGCTGCATGCATGAATGCAGCCGTCAGCCCAGGAGCTCAGCCCTCCGGACTCAGGGGTGGGGGACCTGCGAACTTACGCCACCACGACACGGCGATTGGACCTCCACCTACGAACATTTACACACACACACACGCGTACATGCGTACATGTGTACGTCGAATAACGGCTGGCACCATCCGGATACCTCTTATAGATCGATAGATAATGGGTGCACGCATGCATGCCTACGGGCGAATGGGTGCTTTGCTTGCTTACTGGCGTTTCAGGTTGGCTTATCTGCTTGGTCATTAGGGCTGCATGATTGGATACCCATAGCTGGGCAGTCCGGACGGAGTACGAGGCTGCTGGTTTCTCGACGGCACCGTGCGATGAAGCGATGGGGTGGTGCGATGCGGTGGCACCGACGGCTGGCTCGAAGTAATGAATGTATCTGAAATAAGTACTAACTAATACACCATGTTCAAGCATCCCAGTTGTTGACCGTGACTGGGCCCGTACACTAATTACTCCCGACGCAATAGTTACTTCCGGGATGTTGGATGTACACTGCATCGTGTCCGTGTGGCATCCTTTGCAGATGCTTTATTTAGGCCTTCCAAAGCAGCAGGAGGCTATGACATCGAGTTCACATCGACTGTAGGGGTATTTCAAGGTAAGCACCACGTCCTTCGCATTGCGTGTGACGGATATAATGATCATGCTCGGCACCAATCATTCCAGCAAATCGATGTTGTCGCGAACAGGCGGATTGGTGCTTGAGGTAAACCACCCCAGATACATGAAGCTCAGCTTTTCCCTCTCAAATGTGCACTGACTCTTTCGGATGGTGGCGTAAAGTTTACACCCAAGTCTGAATTTCCCTCTGGACCAAACCTGCCAGAAAGCACTTGAACATCATCTCATGCACCACGAAGCAGCCGACAAGCTCGCAGGCGGTCGATAACTGTTGCGATGCGCTCGTTAACACCCAGGCGCGCCCTGCCTTCACTGCTGAAGAAGAGACTTCACAATGTTCGAGACCTCATCGTCGATTTCCTCAAGAAAATTCTGGAACTCAATCAGCATATCGCCCTCTCATACGACCTCCGGGAGTCAGACGCCGTAGGGGGATCCGGCGGTCCACATACCTTCTCGTACTCTATCATCTCGTCGACGACGAGCTTGCTCTCTCCTTCGATGTCGGCACCAAACTCTATCAGCGCATTTTCGTGGGAAGGCGACATTCCCCTCGTCAGATTGGCGAAGTCCCCATCGAGGAGGCGTCTGTTTCCGTCAGAGAGGATGGCGCGTCCCAGCTCCTCGATCTCTGCCTGGGCGTCTTCCTAGGACGTCCAGAGCTGTGCGACTTCGGAGGACATTGCGCCAAGGTTTTGTTCAAAGTCGGCGATGGCAGTTTTTATAGCGACGGGTTCTAGCCTTTTCCGTCCGTCTTCGTTAGTCGCCTCGTAGCTGACCGTGGCTGTGAGAAGAGACGAGTGAAGCTCGCTGCTCTTTGCGGCGCGGGCGGCAACATCTTCCAGGCGGGTCTTGATGTTCTGCTTGTTCAGGCTGGCCATTTTCTCCTGAGCCTCTTCGAGCTGCTTCAGGGCGTTCGAATGCAATGTTGTGCGGATATTCTGGTACTTTGCTGTTCGGCATTAGTGGTGCACTCGAGAGAGGGCTTCGAAGCAGAAGGGGCTACTCACCTACGAGATCTGTCACCATGGGGTTTTCGGGTTCAGGGTCGGGTTTACGCTGATATGGTCGGTTATGGTAGCGATCAATAGATGTATCATCTTCGTTCATGCTCGAGCGTCGTGGGTACTTGTCAAAGAGGGGTGCGACAGAGTAGTATGCTCGGTTCTGCTTTATTGTTGGCGGGCGGGTTTCCCGCTCGTCCGCATCCATGAGGCGGTGTCGAACAGTGTTGCGATCACGCGAAGGCTCGTCACGGTATCTGTGGCCGTACGGCGGAGCAGCTGGCTGATACGCATGTCTAGTAATGGGTGGAGAGTAAGGGCGCACATCGGGTTTGTCCTCTCGAGTGAAATGGGATATGTGACGTTCAGGTCCACGTCCTGATGCTCCAAGATGTGGTGTTTGAAGATGGTCAGGACGCAAGCGTGATGTCATCGTTGCGGTTCTGGGGACAGCGCCACCCTCTCCAGTGATGACTGCGTCTGATGGCTACCGCACAGGTGAATACAAGTATCGTGTTTCTGGCATGAAGAGGTGGAATATAAGGGAGATCGAAAATGGCAGTGCGTGAGTGCGGTGTGGTTTCGAACTTGTTGGGCAAGAAAGTTTTGTCTCGACAGTTTTGGGCGAGGGTGGGGTGAGTGCGTGGATGGAAAGGGGGAAGGAAGGAAGGAGCTGTCCTGCAAATGCGCGACTTCCTTCTCGGTACCATCGTACCTGCTGCATGTACCTACAAGATTACCGAGGTCCATGCCCGGTTCAAACATGAAGTCCAACGCCCTTCAGGTTAATCTACCAAGTAGGTACCTACCGTAGGTATACCCGTCTCCTGCTGCTGATGCCGGCAAATCGGAGATGGGCAGCAGAGGGGGCATGAGTTGAGCGAAAGGGGTGCATCGCGCCTCCAGACATGCATTAGTCACCGAGCCCAGAGCTTTTGGTTTCGGCAGACATGGAACCTGTGAGTTATCACCTGTCTTTCTCTTCCCCCTCTGTTAGGGATATGAGGAGTGACGCCCCCTCGAACTCCTGAGTGTACCTGTATTCTCACGAAGTCCTTCGTCAAAGAAATCGCACCATGAAAACCCGGAATTTAGTCTAAAAATGAGCGTGTCCCAAAAGAAAATCTACCAGTCCCAAAACCCTGCATAAGGAAAACCCAGAAAAGCATAACGAAAAGTGGCCAAGCTCAGCGTGCGCAACTGCCTGTGCCCCTGACACGACCACCCGAAATCCCTCATGCCCCTTTCCCCTACTCGACCACTTCCGCCTCCTTGACCACTTCCCCCTGCTTGACCTCTGTCGCCATGACGAACAGGGGAAGCATCGCAGCCTCATCCAGAGCTATCCTTTTTGCACCGACAGCATCATACAGGGCTCGCGCCATGCCCGAATGCGCAGTGAAAGAGACAATAGCCGCGTCCGTACCGCTGAAGACATCATCCAGCAGCTTCTTAGCACGCTTCGTCATGGCCTCCTTCGTCTCCCGCGGCTCATCCTTCTTCCACAGCTCGTCCTCATCGGTGAACCCTTCCTCGATCTCATACGTGGGGTAGTGTTTCTTGATGTCGGCCCCTGTGAGTGAGCGCTTGTCGCAGTAGTGTCGGTTGAGGGTCTCGCGCAGAAACTCTTTCACGATGGGCTTGAAGGGACGGTCTGCTGGCACTTTGAGACCCGAGTAGGCTAGCTCGGTCGTATCGAGGCAGCGCTTGAGCGGGCTGGTGAAGTAGGCCTGCGGTGTTGGCATCTTCAGGTCCTCGATCCACCCACTATAGGATGTGTTCAACTCGCGAGCTTGGCTCTGCCCTTTCAGGGTCAGGTCGGCATCCTTCCACCTTGGATTAAAGGCTTCCTCATCCTAGACAGTGTGTTAGATGGTCCGCTGTGCAAGTTGTTCCGAACATGATAGACTTACGTTCCATGTAGTAGAACCCGCGTATGTCACTTTTTCCGCAAAATTATGGGCGGCCTCCCCGTGTCGGATGAGGATGATCAGCTTGTAGATGGCCTTGCCCTTGCCTTCCTCGTTCAACTTCTCCAGGTGGTCGGCGAATGACTGCCAAGAAGCGACTTTTCCCCCTTCGCCGTCGTCCACCATGGCCCCTTCTACATGGCGAAAAAAGTCATTAGGCTCTTTGGCTTTACCTAAGTCAAGACCTTTCCTCGTTTTCTAGATTGCTCGTCAGCTTGCAGCTCTCCCAACTCGAACGGATTCATTTTTCACTGACAGCTCGCCATTTCTTGGTGATTGCCGGAGTGGTACCGGTTGCTGGCCATTCTGACCAGGCTTCCGGGTCGTCCTCGTGGCCGAAGAACCCCTTCATAGGCTTGTACTCAAAGGTACGGGATGCGGAAGACATGATGTCGGCAGTGATCACGAAAGGCAATGAATATGTCACAATGGTTCCTTGGGAAGGCAGAGGCATGCTGAGAGAACTTCCCCTGGTGTGCGAAAGCAGGCTTATTTATGCAAAGTCGATGGGCGGCGCACGGCAGGCTGACGGCTCCGCATTTGGACTGTGACCCCTCCTGAATGACCAACACCAGGACTCGCCGCATTCCACAGGGCTGACGATTCACCCAACACATTCACCAACATCGATTCAGGCGACGATGTTCGGCTATGATAGAACAAAGAAACAGATGGCCTGTCCAACCCCATGATCTGCTCGTATCACCAACGACAGACGCTTGCGTCTGCGTGTTGGTCAATCCTGGAAATCTTCGGCATTCAATATCAAATCTCAAACCCAACATCACCACTTCCGGGTCATCAGACGATCTTCACCCTTCAATGTCGATAGCCCTTTGACACATGTTAGCGCTAACACCATGATCCATGCGCGATGTTGGTACTACAAGCCCATCGAACAACATCACATGCAGCCGAGTAACATCATCTCTCTGATGGATATCGATGACTTCGGCTTCTTCTACGGCGTGAGCAACGCCGATTCTAAACGAGTGCCGAGTGCCCCGTGATGGAGTCACTCCTCAGGTGAGTGTACATAGCGAGCGTGACGAACAAAACAAAGAACCGGTAACGCCCCAACATCCAGCCCAGGTATCGCCCAACAGGTATGCATCCGTGTCCCATGTTCCCATATCTTATATCCCAACATCCCATCCAATATCCCCTGAATAAACACAATGCGTAACGAACGTACTGTAATCCGCCAACATCCAGACAGCATGACACGCCGACCTACAACTGGAACGTCACGCTCCTCTTCACCGGCCCAAGCCTCCCAGGGCCACCACCGCCGGCATCCGCATCCGCATGCTCCTTCACCGTGTCCAGCCCGCCGCCCGGCGGCTCGAGGTAGTAGTAGTGACCATCGCAATCACTGCCCTCGTAGCCCGAGTCCGCGGAGCAGCTCGTGCTGGACCGCTTGGCTCTTGGCCCGGCCATGCCTCCCACGGCAGCGCCAACAACTCCACCACTACCACCCCCAAAACCCCAATAACTAGCATTACTAGTCTTAGGCTGCGTCATGAAGCACCGCTGCTGCTGCCCCTGCTGCTGTACTGGAGACTCACACCCAGCATAAGTCGACGAGCGCGCAACACCCGGCCGCGGCGCACCGCCGCCGCCCTGACCTCGACTCTGCCCCTGGCCCAGACCACCACCGCTACCATTGCTCCCAACTGAGTTGAACCGCCGAAACGCGCGCACGTGCGCGCGGTCCAGACGCTCGTAGTACCAGGCCGCGCCCGGGTCGCCCGCGACGTCGGTGCGGTATATGCCGGCGTACGTCGAGTCCGAGTTGGCGTGGGGGCGGCTGCGGGCGCGCTGGCTCTGTGCTTGGCTCTCGCTGTTGTTGTCGTCGTTATCCGCATGAAGGGTCGTCCTTGCCGAATCTGCGTTCGGTGCGGTCCACAGCCCGAGGTGCTTCTGCCACCACCCTTTCTCCCTGGCGCCGCACTTGCTGGACACGTCGCACAGGGCCTCCTCGACGACCTGCTCCTGCTTCTTGGTGAGCGCGAGGGGTGTCCTGTCACAGTAGTCCGGCTGCTGGGACTGCTGCTGTTGGACGATAGCGTGCTCCACCAGCGCGGCGGCGTCCCGCGCGTCGCGCTCCTTCTTGACGAGGGAGGAGCGCAGGCCGCTCGAGTCGAGCTTGAAGACCGCGAGGTCGCGAAGCGAGATGTACGGAACCTCGCCCGGGCGGATGTCGCGGACGTTCTTGGCTGAGGCGGGGAGGTAGGGGGACTGTGGGTTGCGTGTCAGCATTTTTTCTGACGATTATCACTCGGCTTGATGATAAAGAGAGTCTGCAGGGTAGAGAGACAGGAAAAGGTCTCTTACGAGCCATTCCGGGCTGATGTCGATCTGCATGTGCTGCCCGCCGGGCGTCTGGTAGAACAGCACCTGCGAGCGCTGGACGAAGGGCGAGCCGGGCCGCTCCAGCAGCCGCTTCTTCATCCCGCTCGGGGACGTCGAGATGTTGGTGATGAAGTTGATGTTCTTTCCAGGGGCACACAAGCGTCAGTTATTCTGATCCCCAAGAAAGATCCTTTGTCTGCGATTGACGGCTTCTGCGTCAGGGGTTTTCGAAAGGCTTACATCTGTTGGACGGTAGTTGGGCAGGTAGTGCCATAGTGCCAGGCCCCCGATGACCGATAGTCTCGTGTGCTCGAGCTCGGGGATCTGCTTGATGATTTGGATGACATCGCAGGCGGCGCACTCCAGTTCCTGGAAGCTGGGCGCCATGCTGCGTATATATAGTGCTGGGTTGATCTTCGGAAAGGAACGTAATAAGAAGTCAATGATGATGACAACAAGTAAAGAGTGTTTTTTGACAATGGCCAGCACGTCGTGAGTTAGGTTAGGTAAGGAAAGGATCACTAGGATCAGACTGCGCCTTCAGTATGAAAGGGAGAGAATGAAAGTTGGTAAGATAGATCAGAGGATATCCCCTCGTCCTTCCCCGATAAGCCAGGAAGGAAATACCTTATAAGGAGATAGAGTAGACTGTAACAACCAACCAACCATCCAACTTGTAATAGGTGAACGAGATGTAACGTTGGAGCCAGTAGCTCATCAAGCTTCCCTGCCAATCTCCCGCCTGGTCTCGATCAGGCGGCTCGCTGTACTACCAGACGTGACGACTCGCGTCATGTTATTTAGGGGTCCTGCGATAACGAGGAAGATAGAAGGGTTCCAAATAGAACGCGACTATAAGTTGTCAAACCGTTGTTTGACATGAGTTCCCATCACTCTAGTGCGCAGGTCGTGAAACTGCAATTTCGGCCTCGGGGCCGACGCAGGCAGTCTATAGAAGTCGACGGATCTTGGGGCTACGATTCTAGTCCCCCGTAAATAGACGAGCCAAGGGTCTGGTGCCGTCGTTAGTGATCCGCAGGGACCTACTACTAATGCGACCCCTTCGCCAATTGTTTCCCGGAAGAAAGGGTTCGTCGATTACTTCCCAGAATAAAGATCTGTCTATCAAGGTCGCGAGTTAGGAATTATTCCGCATCGTGCGTGGTGGAGTTCCAACCTGACTCGAGGGTCGATGGCGTTTCCGCCGCTAACAACTCGTGGGCGCCGCCGTTGGAAGATGTGAAACGGTGCTCAGATGGGGCTAGCATGGCAATAGCTGATGAGGGTGTGAGGCCAATGCTTATTTGGGCATTCGATAATGATAAGTGATATATTTCCAGCGATCGTGTGCAAGATACCACCGCCAAGATATCCGGGAAGGATCTGGAGCCAGATAGATGCCTTCGCATCGGTACCGAATCGAGTTAGCAGTCATGAGTGAGTCCTTCGGACGTATCCTTCAGGCCAGACGGGCCACGGTCTGCTCGCCTTCATGAAAAACACATATACCAACCTACATGAGACTCCAAGGTCGAGACGAGAACCAATAGGTAGGTAGTCCAGACAAGTCCAAACCGACAAACCCCGAAAAGGGGCCCCTCTTCTAGAGTCAAGTAGAAACGAACCAAGAAGACCCGGCCGAAGGGTCTTGAGTCGTCAAAGATGTGGAGAGATCGCTACCAACTGCCGTAGCCTAAGATCTACCGTCGAACAGGGAAGCATGGACGATCCCGACGCGTTGACTGCGGTTCTGTCGAGGTAGGTAGTTCTCGGCCTTGATGGACCCTTGACAGGAGTACCTACACACCCTCCTCACCTTCGATGAAACCCCTCGTGCGATGGTCGAGTCACTCGATAACCGGTGTTATCACTTGGCGTTGTCGAATCGGTTATCATGTTGCGTAAATGCCAGGCGCTGGTCATGGGGCATTTGACGAGCAACCCAAGGGGACCAGACTGGACCTTGAAATTCGTCGATCATATCGTTGCACCTGCGAATCGAGTCGTATCCGGCTTGTGAGATAGTATTGGAGCATTCGGCTCTCTGCAAGTCGTGTTCGTCAAGATGCTAGTGATTTTATTTTCTTCCGAGTGCTATCACGATCGAGATGTTCTCAGCCGTCTCACTAATGCCAATGCCGATACCGTTCCCTAAACCTGCACACCTGAGTGTGAATGCTTCTGCCCATAACTCCAACCTCGCCTGCTAATGCCTATCCATTTCTCTAGTATACCGAGTAGACCGTAACCTCGTATGACTCCCCTTTTCTGCAATGACCGGCGATCGCCACGGGTCAGGACTGTGGCGGCCCTTGCTTCAGGATCTCTTGGATCGACATAATCGAGTCCATCGTAGCGTTCGAGTGCCATCGCACCCGTCTAGGACCAAACGTGTCTACTTCATCGGGAGATGGTGGGTCGGTTGTGCCTGGCGTGGCATGAGGCGTGACATGAGGTCGAACTTCGGTCCAACACCCGTCCCATCTAACGTTGGTCCATCGAGGGCGCTTCCAGACCTTGAAACGTTCAATTCGAGTGCTTCTCCAACGACTGCTGCGGGTTTGGTGAGTCTGGAAAAGTATCCTCCACCCCTACAACAGGACACCTTCGTCGTCACCATCCTTATCTTCTTCGTCCTCTTCCTCCCAGTCAACCTCGCCGGCCATTGCCTCGGCCTGTCTTTGGACCTCGGCGAGACCGCTGAGTTCAAGGACGTAGTCTTTGTCTTCCAGCGCATGTTTCACAAAGCTCCAGCCAGCTGATCTGTATGCTGACAGAATAGGCTTACTGCAGGCGCTGCAGCAAGGGTATGACTGCCCCTTGATGATGAGGTTCTGAAACCTGCTCAGGAATCCGCGGATCTGATGAGGCACTATCCCAAGCGCATGCTCATCTTTGGGATCGCTCTCGTAGTTTGCCGAAGATGGGGACGTCATCGGAGCTGGAGCATGGTGCCCAAGGGGATGTTGTAAGGTACTCGTCATGAGCTCAACAAGCAACGCCGATGCGATAGCGGCTATGCCTGGTCTCGTGACAGTGCACTGCTGATCGAGCGTCAGATCCTTCTGCGACTAGAGATAATGTTAGCCCATCATCACACATATGCCAAGAAGGTACCTGACTTACGTCGCCGGGTGCGACCACGTCGTTACAGAAGTAACACCCCAACGTGTCTTCACTACCATCCTTGGGTTCAGCCCCATGTCTCATGACCACGTAGGTATCGAAGCCCAGCGCAGCATTCATGACCATCTTGCCTGCTGCTTTGCCCATGACGGTTGGCAGCCATCTTGACTCCCTACTATCCATTAGAAGGAAAATGGCGTCATGCTCGTCAATGAGGCTTTTGAGTTTCTGGAACTCCGCCTCTGTCTTGTCCACGATTGGATGTCCAAGCATTGGTACCGAGAGGACCTCCCCGTGGCTGTCGACACCTGGGTATATCTGCCTCAATACTTCAGCTGCTCGAATCGCCTTCGGGGCTCCTCCATTGAGGCAGTCATCATAGACAAATAGCGGCTGTCTGACCGGGTTTGAGAATGATACGGCGCCATAGTCGACAAATGTAATCTTGCGCACTCCCCATCCCATGAGATTCCTCGAGACGTAACTGCCAAGTGTGCCAGCACCGAGAAGGAGGCACTTTGTGTTCTTGATAATGTCGAGGTTTAGGTTAGGCGAGATTCGCCATTTCATGAGCTTCAAGTTGAGATCCACCGATTGGTCAGCCAGCCGAGCAGGATTCATCGACTCTGCTAAGCTGACATTTCTCGCTTGGAGTTTTCCGGTCGGAGTTCGTTCCCAGCCCGTCGCTTTCGGCATTGCAGAGGTCTCTATCTCTTCAGCAGGGTCCATTGAAAGGGTCAGGATGATACTGCGAGCCTCGTGTCTGCGTGCCTGTATATCCCGATAACATAGAATCTGGACGTTGGATAGGTGGTACCGTTGTCGTACGAGCACTAGTAGATTTCTCAGAGGCCAAGCTGGATGCTCCGGGTAGCCGGATGGATCTACAAAGGCGACGTATTTGTCTTCGTTATGCACACCGAAGAAGAAGTTGTTTTCGAAGTCGCGAAGCGATCCAACCTCCCATCTGTACCCTATGTCTTCGGTCGGTGTCTCATCTGGAGACAGAGGCTGCGATGACTGCGTCCTTCCTCTTACTTTCTTTGCTAGGAAGAAGCCGTACTCTCTGTTATCCACCGTGTATCGCCATGTGCCTACTCGGTCGACTAGTGCGGTACTCTCGTTGGGGTTCAGCCGTTGAATCTCACCCACGCGCTTCCACGGAGGATCGGAATGCAGTGTCGGGAAGCCAAACCAGTAGGTCATCCGATATTTCTTCAGGTCGGCGTACGAGAGGATAATGTAGTGGGAGAGGAGCGAAGGTACGGAGTAGATGGTGCCGTCTTTGATAGCGTCCCATATCTAGCAATGAAGGTTAGCAGTTAGTCATATAAACAAGGAGGCTTCACTAATGACAGACCTGGCGTGCGCCATTCTGAATTATCTCGCTCTTGTCCACTTGCCGAAAGGCTTCCAAGGTGTTCATGTTTCTGATTACGCCTTCAGCCCGCACAGCATTCATTGCCACGCTACGAGCGCGCATGCTATGTCAGTATTGGACGTCTCGGAAACAGCCTCATACCATGCGACACGCGGGCAGCCCCGACATACCTGGTAGTTGTCAAGGCACTAGCCAATATCTGCATTACCACGCTGTCGTCGGCAGCTGCGCCTGGACGAGGCTCGTAAAGGCCGAGCACCGGTCGCGCGTCGTCGCTGAGCTTGTCATGATCGAGCTTGGAGGCGAACAGCGCAGAGTAGAAGGGCAGTTCGATCTCGGAGGCGAACGGCGCATACTTGAGCGCCGTCATCTTGCCCAAGCACTTTGCGCCAGCAGCGTTTGGTCGGCCTGCTGCGAAGGTGGAATCTAAGCAGCGCGGATACGGATAAACCGGATTCTTGTTCTGTCGCAGATGGCGGGCTGACAACTCGTTCGAGTGAGGGTGCAGGACGTGGCTGCGACAGGTAAGGTAGTTGTGATGAAGATATGCTTGTTCGAATGATAGTTGTAGGAGGCAGGGAGGAGCTGGCTGAGGATGGTGGTGGGTGGGGGTGCCACAATGGTGGGGGATCGGCCTACGTAAGGGACGGGATGCTCCGATGTGGGATGGTACTGAAGGTTGCAACTTTTGAAAGGTTTGAACTTCAATTTTCAGCTCCAGACAGTGAGCATGAAATTGAAGAAATCAAGTCGATAGGTACTATCAAAGAGGATTTGGAGAATCATTAGATTTATATGAGGCATATTTACACCGATGAAGTGCACACAAGGATGACAGGGCCACGTCAGGCTCGGGAAAGAAGGGTCACATGGATGTCTCTCGTGAGGACTGACTAAAGGAGTCATCCGCCACCAAGGATACAACATGTACATACATGATGCTGCTGCCGCTGATGATGATGTTTTGGGGGAAATAGATGTACATTTATATAACAAGAGGAAGCTGGATGAATGGGCCACAAGCAACATACCGTATGGAAGGCAACCATCTCACCACCGAGACCACCATCCCTTTTCCAACTTCCATCATCCGCCCACATCCCACATCCCGCCTCACTATCCCATGGGTCATTTTAAGGGATAACATGCACTTGACCCGACAAGCTGATGAGAAGAGTAGTTTGCATGTTGTTTTGGGGCAGGGTTGATGTCATATACAGCCAGGTCTGTGGCATATAAAGGCCACCGTTCATTTTTTTTGTTACTTTCTTTCGTCTTCCTGCACAGCCACTCCTCTATCATAACACATATAATTGAGCGATCAGTTCAGATACACATTGTATTATCTCTATGTGACACACCCTTCAAATTCACTGCGTGGCTTTGCCAATGGCTCTCCCTCCTCCTTCTTATATCCATTATACAAGCAGCCCTATTGTGGGTGTTGTTGCTGTCCCCGACTCAATATGTTAGTGGTTCTCCCTGTAACCCGCACCAGCTACGTACCTCGTGTAGATATGCATATCATGGGCATGTCGACTGCTTGCCAGGGTCCGAAAAATACGATACTTAGTATCGTAATGGCCTATTACGATACGATACTAACCATTACGATAGTATACGATAGTAATACGAATATTAATAAGGAAATTCGAAAGTGGGGCCTTAGAATTTAACTTATATATTTTTCGAAATAAGAGAAAAACTAAAAAAGAAGTATATTTTAGTTTTATTAGTATCATTTTTTCTTATGTACTTATTTTAAGTTCAAAACGAGAGATTTAATTAAAAGATTTAAAACTTAATTATGAATATATATATATACAATATATTTTAATTATTAAAAACGGGTTTAAAATATGAACAGGAGATTAAACTATAATATTACTAGTTTATATTAATCTAATTATTAATAAATATTTAAAACCACCTAAAACTTTATATATAAGTATATAAATATATTTATAACTACTATAGTATTACTATATAGTGTGAGAATTGTGGTGGCTTTGGTGGTCAAAGGGGTCAATGGAAGCTGTTGAATACACGGATGTTGATTGATTCTATGTTGTTCTGCTCTGCGTGCAGAGCTTGATCATCTGTCTTCTTGGTGGGTCAGATGCCCTGTGCGTCTCTGCCCCACTGGAGATCTTCCGGTGTCTATCTCCGGCTCCCATTCAACAGAAGCAGCTGGATGAAGGAGCTTTGTCACATGCTCTAAGGATAGGCACTGCTTTGTGGTTTGAGTGTGTATTTAGTACCAAATCAGGCCCTCTGACCCATAGCCAGAACAAGCAAGCAACAAGGGAATCTACCCTTATTCCGCACCGATACAGGATTCCCGACATATAGTAATAAACTTCGTTACGATACGATACGATACGATACTAAGGAACATTACTATTAGAATTTTTTTGGACCCTGCTGCTTGCGATGTAATCCGCGATGGTGAGGGCCCACGCGATCGCACATGTAGATCCCGGCTGACGTGACCTGCGAGGGCAGCTGGGTTGGAACCTTGCAGGTGACGGGAGTCGGGTTCTTGGCGGACACTTATAGCGCATTAGAGCGGGTCAACGCCGGTAGCTTTTCCCTCATGGACCGCGACCAGACGCGTTGAGAGCGTGCACCAGCATGGGATTCTCCAACTTGCTTGATGAGTGAAAGGCTGCCTCTCACGACTTATACGCCCCTGATGCATGACTGACCTAGCTAACTATATGCAAACTTCTACGACCTCACCAACAACTTCTTGGAACGGGCAATCGGAAACATGCTCATTGGTATTTGCGGTGGTAAAGTACCAGACTCATTGATCCTTCACCCCCTATACCTGTCTGCATGTTAAGAGTTTCCTCACTTACACCACCACACAGCAAAATGCGCCGGTAAGAGCACAGTTGCTCAATACCTGATAGACCACCACGGCTTCAAGAAGCTGCATCTAGAAGCCCCAAAGCCGGCTCCTCAGGTCAACGGCAATGACAATGGCAATGGCAATGGGACGTCATCTACATCCACTTCTGCGTCCGACGCAAACACAGCAGCAGATACACCGGATCACTCAAGGCAGGAGCAGAGCAACCTCCCGCTACGTCTGAAGCAAACCAGGACGCCGGAGTCATCATCACCACACACCTTCGCCACCGCAACAGCCCTGCTGGACTTCGTGACCAAGCACTGGCGCTCCGGCTGGGTGACGACAGACATCCACGACGAGGCAGTCCTGGACGCCCTCAGCCGGCGGCCCTTCTTCATCCTCATCAGCGTGGACGCGCCCCTGACAGTGCGGTGGCGGCGGCGGCAACAGAAGCAGCAACAACAGCAGAACATACAGAACCAGAACCAGACCCCTGCGCCCATCACCCTCGAAGACTTCGTCACGCAGTCCGACGCGCACCTCTACGCGCCCACAACCGGCGTCCTCCCCCTAATCAGCCGCGCCACGGTCCGCCTCCTCAACACCTCAACCTCCCTAGCGCACCTCTACGCCACGCTCGGCAAGCTCGACCTTACGAACCCGGACCGGCTACGCCCAAGCTGGGACAGCTACTTCATGTCCCTCGCCTCCCTAGCAGCGCAGCGCTGCAACTGCATGAAGCGCGCCGTAGGCTGCGTGCTAGTAGACGCCAGGCACCACGTGATCAGCACGGGCTACAACGGCACGCCGCGGAATCTGCGGAACTGCTCTGACGGCGGGTGCGCTCGCTGCAACGCCGGCGAGGCCGGGTCCGGCATCTCGCTCGCCACCTGCCTATGCCTGCACGCCGAGGAGAACGCCCTGCTCGAGGCCGGGAGGGAGCGCATCCGCGACGGGAGCGTCCTGTACTGCGACACCTGCCCCTGCCTCACCTGCAGCATCAAGATCGTCCAGGTCGGCATCCGCGAGGTCGTCTACAGCCAGGGCTACAGCATGGACGGCGACACGGCCCGCGTCTTCGGCGAGGCCGGCGTCAAGCTGCGCCAGTTCTCGCCCGTGAGCCTTCTTCTCTCCTTCTCTCATCCTTTTTCTCTCTTGCAGCTTCACGGACCTTGCGGTGTGGAGATACGTTCTTGCTAACAGACCGTTTCCACAGCCGGCGAATGGGTTGATACATTTGGAGAAGATGGAACTCTACTAGACCTTTGCACCCAGTACTTTAGACGCTTACTCTGGCGGCCAACGCTATACTACACATACAGTATAGATGTGGAAGCACATGGGGCTGTTGGTCGCGTGACCATGATACCTGACCCCGAAGAAGATAGACCCGACATTTATGTCCACCATTAAATGTATTAGAGGCGCTTAAGCTAGAGACGACATCCCAGGTGCTGTCAAAGAGTGAACGACATCGCCTTGCGTGCACAAAAAGCTCATGGGTAACTTAGTAAAGGCATTGGCATTATTGAAATTATAGTAAAGCGTCTCGGAGGCCAACCAAGATCATGTCCAATGCCGAAAGCCCCGTTCGCAAGTTGGTAGCTGAGCTCGAAACGCAAAACAAATGGATATTTCTAAGTACACCACCCAGCTAGCAATCTCCGATTTCGTTGCATAGCTTGTATCCGAAGATGCTGATCGAAGTCGATCAGGACGTCCGGGGGTGAAAACATTTTGGTCGACTTGGAGCGTTGGTGGCGTATGTCCATGGCAATATTATTCCACCATACAGTACCGCTCTTCTTTCCTCAGGTCGTCCACTTTCATCTCGTCCTCGCTTAAACTTGGCTCACACTCTGCTTCTTGGCCTTTCTTTTGGCAAGAGCCTTCGAGATACACAGACCGAGGAGACCGCATCCGACGACAAAGACGATGGCTGTACATCCGATTAGCAACGAACCACCAACATGAATAGCCTCCTAATGTCATAGGTACATGTCGCAAGCGACTCTCGAAGGCCGACTCGGCTGTGCGGATATCGTTCGACTGGAGAGCTCGACCGGGGAAGCAGAAGACCTACCGAACACGACGATGACACCGGCTTCTTTCTGGGCCCCTGTGACAGTTAGCAATTGCCCAGGACAAGTTTGCAGATAATAGTAACTACAACTGCCTTTGTACAAGGAGATTGTACTTACAGGTGCGGCGCTTGGCAATGTGGCTGAAAGTGTCGCGAGCGACAATGGCACTGTTGATGGCAGACATATTGAAGGTCTATCAACAAGATTTAGTACGTCTGCCCAACTGCAAAGAGACTTTCCCTTCGGAAGTTCGGGCCTGATCAATCGGCTTCGAACATGCGTGCTATAAAGGTTTTGAAAATGGCGCATTTGAGTGTGCCCGCCGGAGTCGGGTCAGCTCCAGCTGCCAGCACCATTGATAGCTGGGTAGCCGTATGAGGCAGGTTGACAACACCGAGCCAGTGGTCATGACGTTTACTGGCGAACTGGCCTGGCCGAGCCTCGAGGCCCTCAATTGACAAAGAAGAATCAGCGTACCTTTGGGGAGTTTGATTAGGTTGTCTTCGGTGGAATTTGCGAGGGATAGATCAGGTTGGACGGTTGTGTCAATGGAGCTGTACTATTCAGAGGATCAGACGAGCTTGGTATGCGAACAACACAGGCCTCGGTTAGAATTGGTGGCTTCGATGGGAATCCGCGCAAGGCAAGTGAGTTGAAAAGAGGAAGAGAACAATTGAAAAGGTCTGGGGCGGAAAGGAAGCGGTAATATGGCTCGGGGTGGATGGAGCTGTCGAGTCAAGCTCGGAAGGGGAAACAAAAAAGCTTGGTCGCTTGGCAAGGCCGGCAGGCGGGCGGGCGTGCAGGCGTCTGTCCCTTGTGTCTGCGCGATTTTGTAGGCGCAATTCCCGTGCAACAACAAGCGCAAGACGGGGCAGACGACTGGGGTCATAGGATCGATTTGTGGGCGCCGGTGGATAGCGTAATACCGCAACAGGCAGGGAACATGGGCCCTCTATGGGGAATGCGACGAGGGTAGCCCATCGCTGGGTGGGATCGCGAGTAGGCCGAGTGGTCGGCCGTTTGATGAGGGCGATCCGAGGGTACATATAAGGTAGACATGCGGGAAAACAAGACAGCGCTCACTCACCAAGTGTTTGGGCTTCTAGGGCTTCAATTGACTCTCGTAGTCTTTAGGTGAGCGGGTGGAAAGCAGCAACCTGTTGTTGGAGAAATCGTAGGTTTTGAGGCTTGTGCAGAGGAATGAGGATGGAGAGGAGCGTTGCAAATTGATTTGATGATTTGGTTGAGCCCAGTGGAGTCCTAGGATTGTTTATGTGCAGCTGGCCCGAGCTCCCGGCCTAGGTGAGGTACGACTACGGGCAGGGCAACCGCGAGGTGAGCAAGGGTGAGGCCGGGCGACTGCACCTAGCGAAAACTTAAATACCTTCATCACACACCGCACGCCCACACAACAGAGAAGTACCGACTCAGGCCTTCAAGATGTTCAGGGTTTCCTTACTCGGTGTCGCATGTGTTTTACTCGCGTTAGCTCTTCAACATTGAACTTGACATGACAAGTATTTAGGTATGGAAGATCACTCAGGAGTCTCCGGAGTAGATACTGTTCGCCAATACACTCGCTGATGATGACTGACTCCCGCATCTGCCTCCATGTCAACAGGAAGCTGGTTTCGAAGGAGTCTACCTCTGTGCATGTACACTGTACAGTCAATCCCTAGGAGTTCCCCGAAGAGACCAAGAGCCTCCCTTGGCTTCCTCTGCACTTGGTCGAGAAGGTCTTACATGTAGATATGTAGGTAGCTCAGCTGCTCGGCCGTGTCGGCTTTGCACATGTATTCTTGAGAAGTATAGATGAACAACTCCACAATCCACAGTGATGCTAGGATCCATACCCTAGGTACCGCCATGATCCCATAATCTTGAATGGGGTTTTCTATCTTGGGAAAGCCCGGTCCGTCTAGGTCAACCACCTAGGTATCTAGACCAATCAGAGAGCCCGGCACTTTTGACCATCGGCGCACCGTCGATTCGTGTAATCAAAAGCAGTCGAGTTCGAGTCCAGCGCCTTGCGGCGTTGCCGGTAGATATCACAATGGCAATAGGTAGATCCGTCTTATTTCCAATGCGCTCATACATAAGGTACACATACCCCTGGATAAGAACTGCAAAGACCGTAGAGATACACGTAGTCGACCATAATATAATAAGAAGGACAACCAAGACTTGTAAGATAATGGTGTAATGATTATCTTCCTAGAGGTTATTCATGACCTGGATAGACTGAGGCGCCTAGTATGTCAAATATACCAGTAGCTCTCCTAGCATGATTCGAGGGGGTGTGGAGGGGCTCGCTCGAGTGGGAGTCCAACCGCAATCTCTACGATCTACACGCAATATGAAGCAACCAAACAAAAAGTTATGCAGCCAGGACGAAAACAAAATTGAGAGTCAAAAAGATAGGATCGAACGCGGATCGAACGCGTGACCTTAGGATAATAGTCATGGTAAGAACTGCAATCCCACGCTCTACCACTGAGCTACCAATCCTTGACTGAGATATCGGCACTCGTAAGTCTTTCCATCAACCTGGATCTAGCCGGCTGTCTCGGAATCACCCACACTTGGGCCGTCCCGGAAAGCTTGTACAGGTCCACTCCCAGTCCCAGATCTATAAACCAGACACGAACCAAATCAAGCTGCGGTGGCTACCGCTTCTTCTAAGCAACCTCTCTGCATGTACGGCGTGCTCCTGTCATCTGTTGGCCAAGCCAGACTTCTACCATCCTCATCGGCATCTAAGTCCGGGGAAGCCTGCAATTACGCAGATTTGTCGTCAACCCGATAAGGATTTGGGCGTAAATTGTTTGGCTTGGCGAACAGGTGGTAGGAGCACGCCATGGAGAGGTTGCTTAGAACAGGCGGTAGGTCCGATCACCCAACACCACTGCCCCTTAACTCCATCGAAAGTCAATCATATCATATACTGTTAATAAACTCGTTGTATAATCACTTCAGCACAGGTCTAGGCACGATGCCAGGTCCTTATTCCGTAATTAGTAATGCTATACGACCTGACACAGGTCAGGCCTGGATCCGAGGGATTGGTTCAGCTGACTTTATCCCAGCCTCCAGGCTGGAACTTTATGCAGGACTCTTATTAATTACCGATCTTACTTCCCCTGATGTCGACATGTTCGATATTTATATCACATAAAACCGGATGGATCAGTCTTAACCGCGTTTTTTCTGACTCCTTGCATCGACTCGCCATAACCAACAGGATCAGGTTAGCTTGTGATAGTCAGCTTCACAGACCTGAAGCGTAACAATGACTCTGACGAACAGCTTCCCGTGGCCAACGGCCTTCCAACTACAGCTAGTTTTGGCCTCGCTGTTGATCTACGTCTCCGTCGTGGCAGTTTACCGTCTATACTTCCACCCGCTAGCCAAGTTCCCCGGTCCCAAGCTCGCCGGTAAGCCACTTCATTCCGTCCATCCTCTCGATATGGATCGGGTCAGACACAGACAGCTCAAAAAGCGCCCTCGTGCTAACAAGTAGACTGTGCGCGCAGCGCTGACAACCTGGTACAATGGCTACCATGATCTTGTCCGCGGCGGCCAGTACGTCTGGGTGATCGAGGAGATGCACAAGAAGTACGGGCCAATCGTGCGGACGCGCCCCGACACGCTGCACGTCAACGACCCAAGCTTCATCGACAAGCTGTACTCGCAGTCGCCCAAGCAGCGGCGCGAGCGGTACCGGACGATCATCCAGACACTCCAGGCGCCGGGCTCGATCCTCGCGTCGGTAGACCACGACCTGCACCGCCGACGGCGCGCCGTGCTCAACCCGTACTTCTCGCAGCAGAACGTGCGCCGCCTCGAGCCCGTCATCAACGAGACGCTCGCGTCTCTGCTGCACCGCATGGACGGCTGGGCCAGAGAGGGCGCGCCCGTGTCGATGAACAGGGCATTCAGAGCGGCGACGTCGGACATCATCCAGGCCTACGCGTTTGGTGGCGCCGGCCGGAAGTATCTAGACATGGAAGATTGCAATGCCGGTTTCTTTGATGTGCTCACGCCGCAGCGGGTGTGCCATCTTGGGACACATGTCTACTGGCTTGCCAAGTTCATGGCCAACCTCAATCCTGCCATCATGACTTATCTGTTACCTAGAATTGGTATCTTCGCGACGTTCATGCAGGTAAGGAAATCCGATTTCAGTGTGCAACACAAACTAGCAAGGACGGCAGCTGACCCCAGGGTGGGCAGGATCTCTTCGACCAGATCGAAGAAATCCGCAACGCGAAGGATCTTCCGGAGGGCCGGACTATCTTCCACGAGATCATGCGGTCCGACATCCCAGAGTCGGAGAAGGAGACCAAGCGCCTTGGCGACGAGGCCATGATCATAATGATAGCGGGCTCGGAGACGACGGCGTCGACGCTCGCCGCCATCATGTACCACCTGCTGGCAGACAAGCAGATGCTGGCGAGGCTGAAGGACGAGCTCGAGTCGGTCATGCCGGACCCCAACGAGCTGCCCGTGGCGTCGAGGCTGGACAACCTGCCCTTCCTCAACAGCCTCATCCAGGAGACCATCCGCCTCTACCCCGGCGCCACCCACCGCCAGGACCGCGTCGCGCCCGACGAGGACCTCGTCTACGAACACCCAGACGGGCGGACTTTCGTCATACCCGCCGGCTCGGCCGTGGGCATGACGGCGCCGATCATCAACCGCCATCCGGACCTGTACGAGCGTCCCGACGACTTCCTTCCGGACCGGTACCTGGAGAACCCAAAGCTGCTGAGGTATCAGTTCGCGTTCTCGAAGGGCGCGCGGCAGTGCATCGGCATGAATTTGGCCTATCAGGAACTGCAAACATTGATTGTGGGCTTGTTCCGTCGGTACGATGTATACGACGCGGCGAAGAAGGAGCAGGGCGGCCCGACGCTGGAGCTGTTTCAGACGGGGCGCGAGGACATTGCTATGCATGCGGATTATATCACGCCGGGCCAGTGGGAGGGGAGCCAGGGACTGAGAGTCAGGATTCGGCAGTGATATGCTGTTCTGGCCTGGCTGTTCCTCACATATTGTGTAATCATGCTGTGTATCCGAAGATATTGGCTCGCATCACAATCACTCCCGACCCAAACCCCAACCCCAAAACGCCGGCCCAAGCACATATTACGTCCCTCCTACCCGAGTCCGCCTCACAACTTCGCTGTCTCAGCCAGGTCGCCGACCCTCAGCTTGCCGCCGTACTTCTCGAGCACGTTCTTGCCGTGGTACTTCCAGAAGCTCTTGGTCGCGTTCTTGCCGGCCATGCGCTTGAGGATCTTGGCGCCGCCCGGGTGCTCGTCGAGGAAGTCTGTTTACCGTAACGGTTAACTAAGGTACTGTTTTGCGACCAAGTCTGGAAGGATGGCAAAGGGGGGAGAGCGGAAGAAAGCGAAGGGAGGTGACAGGTAGTGTAGACAGCGCTGAGGGCAGAGGGCAGAGGACGGGGCGCTTGGAAATGTTGGGACTAACTTGTGATGTCGTATACGCCGCTGTCGATGATGATGTACATGCCGCTCTGCTCGTCCTTATACCCGCCGACGTCCTTGGCCGTGAATATCTTGGACATGGTGGCGGTCCCCCGTGATATACTCGAGGTCTGGGTTTACGGGTTTATGGTGGGAGGGCGGATGACGATGCGCTTCGCTGGGTCTGCGACTTGGGCTGGTGTCGCGGAATACAGTATCAAGCAAGATCTAGGTCGAAGGGAGAATGGCAATAGCGAGCGAGAAGTTAATAAGGCGGTCGACGAGGGATGGTGCAGTGGTTAGGCAATGGTGTTTGCTTGGTTACGATTCATTCATTCAACAGCGGCGGCCCAGACGAGCCTCGGCTCAATGCAACCCGGCAGTCAGCAGCAGGGATGATTTCCCCTCCACGTCATTGGCCGCAAGTCAGCTGGGTCTGCCAAGAGGAACGGTCTGAGTCTCTTGGCGCTGGTCCTTGCAGCCTTTTCTGCATTGCTCTATGCCGCTTTGGGGAGAAAAGCGCCGATCTCGTAGGTCCACCTCCGTATCAGCCATTGGCCACATGCACTTGAAGGCGTGAAGCCGAGCAGCAAGCAGCACGGAGAGCAGCAGGTACGAAGGTACCGTTGGAAGCCGCTAGCTGCAAAGGGTAAGAGTCTTCCTGCCTGGGCTGGATCAAGCTGCTAAAAGGGGGGGCGGCAATTAAAATAATTAGCACTCAAGGGATGGGACGGGTTGTGGAGTAGCAAACAGTCACTCTGGGGTTCACGGTAGTCGGTGGTCCTCGGCATCCGACGTCTTGAATGCAATCACTGGACTACCTAGGTAGGAAGATGATCGGTGAGGTGATTGTCATTGAGCCATACACATGGCATATTCCATTCGTGGAGTGTCAAAATGTGGTATGCCTCTAATCTTACAACGCCGTGGATGTAGCTAGTACAGCACCAGCTATCCAAGAGTCAGTGCCCACATGTCATAGCATAGTATTTAGGTTTGAAGTAGCCTCATCAACAATAATGATGCGTTTATTCCATCCGGACGCCTCTCCGCATCGCGCTTCTAAACATATCAGCAAATGCCGACGTGCCCTGACAGTCGCTCTGCTCCATCTTCTCCGTCGCCTTGGGCATCCACTCCGTGATCTTCTGTATCCGATTATGATTCTGCGGAACGCGTCAGTCCCTCATATAGACACCCTATTTGCAATTAGAAGTAGAGAGCAGGTCCAACATACCGAGGGGTGCGTACTCATCCACTCGGGCGGCTCACCCTGTTGTGCCCTCTCCATGCGCTGCCAGAACCCCAGCGCCTGCTGCGGATCGTAGCAGGCCTCCGCCATCATCATCAGGCCGATGTAGTCGGCCTCGCTCTCCTGCAGCCGGCCCATCGGTTTCGAGAACAGGAGGTCCAGAATGCCGCCCCCGATGAACGACGTGGCGAAGATCGCAATGCCGCCCGTGAGGAAGATGACCGAGTAGAGCAGCATGTTGACGCCGATCTGCGACGACATGCGCTCGCCGACGTGTTCTGCCAGGTTATGTGCTATTTCGTGCCCTAAAACTGCAGCCAGGCCGTGCTCGTTCTTGGCGATTGGGATGAGGCCGCTGTACACGAAAACTTTGCCCCCTGGGAGGACGAAGGCGTTTGCGGTGCCTGGAGTTTGCCTCATGAGTCAGTCCAACGATATCAACCTCGGATGACCCTTAAATATATAGGGGTACCACATACGAGGATCATCAATGACTCTGACCTCCCACTCTGCGTCCTCCATACCGCTCACAGGTATCAGCCTCGCCATGACTCTCTCGACCATCCTCGTCCGCGGATCCCAGTTCCCCAGGAACCTCTTGCCCGTCTGCTCGACATCGTATTCTATGCGCTTGACCTGTGCGTCGCTGGCCGCCTTGACGGACTCCTCGCTGAAGCAGTTGAAGCGCCGCCGTCCGGAGACCGGCACCGTCTGGAGGTTGCTGAAGTAGAAGGCGACCGCGCCCACGATCGAGAGCACCACCACTGTATGCAGGCTCGGCGAGCGGATGAAGCGTCGGAGGCTGTCGTGGGTTACGAGCGGCTTCGCCCGCGACAGCTGGTAGGTCGGGTCGCGAGAGCGGACCCGCAGCTGGTAGTCCGGGTCGCGTGAGGGGTCCCGCGGCGGGCCCTGCCACTTGTTCGGTCGGCAGGCGGTCTGCGAGAACAGTCGTCGGCCAGGAAACTGAGGCTGTATGCGGCGGAGGATCGGAGACGGTGCGGTGGTAGAGCGAGGAGGTATTCGAGTTGCGACCACACCTAGGGAGCGGCGCGCCGGCTGCAAAACCAGTCGTAGGGCCCGCATCGTGGAAGCTCGCCGTTTGCGGGGGGCGCGAGCTTGAGGGGAAGCGGGTTTGAGTTGCGAACGAGCTCAGAGCTCGGAACTTAGCGAAGTGAACCTCGGCACAACTCGAACAATTATGTGTTAAGCCATCTAGTCCTCCCAAGAAATGAGTGCTCGTCGCCGAAAGAAGTGACGGCCCAAGATACGAAAGGGAGAAGAGATGAGACAGCTACATGATTATTACGTCCCGATGTGGACAAACGGGAACCCACCGGAGCTGTGAGCTGTGGCAGTATGGAGGTGGCCCGCGAAGGCCCACTGTATAAGCCTATGCATAGCACCTGGCTTGGCACATCGTTACCCCTTTCTTAGTTTTTACTACCTATACATTACCCCTTTTTGCAACACTCTGTTACAGCAAACACCATTCGGTTCGAACATTCTCTGCTGTACTCAATGGCAGAACCCAACCATGCCGGCATCGCTTTCGAGAAGCCCGCACGAGCGACATCACTTCACTGTCCACCATTGTCGCCCGATCATTCCATCCGGTCAATCCTTTCACAGATGCGACAATGGTGGTCCCGAATATACACCGGCGTGCTAGAAGACCTGACGTCTCGCGCTTTCACGGCGGTCGACTCCAGCAAGGACCAGGCAGTGGGCACTCTGCTTCTCCGACTCTGTGCCCCGACAGACAAGGGCACTGGGATCTGGACAATGTACAACATCACACCAGACCACGGTGAAGCAGCGTTCAAGTCGATGATCGATGGTATGGTCGAGCACCGCGAACGGTTGATCACGGAAACGCACTTTCTGATCGAGCTCTTCGGCGTCGATCACGGCTACAAGGGCCGCGGGATAGGTCAACGACTCCTCGCTATGGCTTGTGAGGCAACGGATGACTCGAGCCGTGAAATCTTCGTGCAGGCCAACGCCAGTGCGAAGGGCTTCTACTGCAAGCAGGGATTCGAGGTCAAGGGTGAAACTGTGATGCCGGGGGAGTTGGAGTACAAGGAGTATATGCTTGTACGGCCTTGCAGCAAGCGAGCATCATGATGGCACCAACGGGGCTACGGGGTTGGTCGTGTCAACTGGGTGTGCTGTCTGGAAATTCAGGACCGCAGTTGCCCTCATTGCAACATAACATGTCTTCTGGGTCCCAAACCATTCAAATCCAGAACAACATTCTTGAATCGCCATTCCGATGCCACACTCAGTAAACCAAACACGACCCATTCGTAGTAGTCTCCATGCGTTTTGATGAGCACTAAATTCTACGGAAAGAGCGTTCGTTTGGTTCACGGTGATCTGGTGGTAGCTGGATTCATCAAGGTGCACCGACACAATCTTCGGAGGATGCTAACAATACGATATACCTTCCTAACCAGTAACATGTATTCCCTGATCTCCAGTATACATTGCACAATAGTTTCTGGAGCTGGCTAATAAAATCAGCGTCACCCGCTCTCAAGCAAAACATCAGCGTTTAAACGTACCCCACAAACACACAGCTGGTACCCAAGTCTCCGTGAAGTGGTCTAGTGCTTGACGCCAATGGAAATGATTATAGCTGTGAGGTCTAGTATGAGTCAGGAAGCCGTTATACCAATCAGCAATACTCTGCAGAGACTGTGAAAGAGAAGGATCCAGAAAATGATAGCTTCCCTTATGGAATCGCCTACGAACGTAGGCGATTCTGACGAAGACGTCGAGTAGAGCCTCCCATATAGGTTGAACCGATCTTACTCTATAGAGTAGGGGATTCGGTTGACAGAGCAGATCTTGCTCGATCCGATGTAGTGCTAAAGGTCTTGGTACGGCTGATGTTGAATACACGGATGTTGATTGCGAAAAAACGACAAGGTGGGAGAAAAGGAACAGGTGTGCGTACAGCCGAGGCTGCAGCTCATATGGTCCTGGTCTCCTTATCTAATCTACACGTGACCTGATGACTCAGCATCCAACCAGGTGGATACAGCTGTACACCGTCACACGTGACATCATTTGTGCTAGTATCTAACAGCTGACGGTTATCGGATGACGGCAATCTCCGTTAGCTACTACTAAAAAAGTCTGCATTTTTAAAGGTTTAAATCTTTTGATATTTATAAGATGACGAGATTTTTAATACCGCTTTTATTTTTACAGGTTAAATTTTATAAGGCATTTTCTTTCATTTAATAAGCGAACGTATAACTAAGTCTTGATTAATCGCTTATAAATTAGTCTTTTTATAAATTATAACTTATAATATTATAGCTAATTATATTGTTAATAATACTAAAGATTTCCTAATTATTACTATAAATGTTAACTTATAAGTCGCTTAAATTACGAAACTAACTAGCTGTTACGTAACTAAGCGGAAATGTCACGAAGCGTAAATAGGATGAGGACATAAAAGTCCTGATTGCACTACCTACGTGTAAGAATCTCTTGGTGGGGAGGGAAAGAAGGATCTGACCCGCCAGCCAATTCTGGTGGGATTAATGATCCTTCTATCCGCCCCACTATTACCTAGCCTAGTACAGTTGTGGCCACACGTCTTGTGCGCCAGGTCATGTGATGCTGCGCACAGGCCACCCTGATGGCTTGACAGACTTCCAGGAGGTCAGACCGTCACAGGAAACAATAAAGATATTATAATGGTTGCTACATTGCGACCATTGGTGATGGTCCTGAGATCACGTGACAGCACGTGACCTCCTAGACAACTGGTTGTCCCAGACCTACTAGAGCTCTGAATTATTGTCACGGAACAGCTGGCAGCTCAGGACGAAGATGCCCATCTATTACTCCAGATGAATAAGAATCTACTGGTGAGGAGGGAAGAAGGATCAGAACCACCAGCCAATTCTGGTGGGGGATTAGATCTTCAATCCCGCTCCACAATTATCTATAGTGAGTGCAGCGGGGCAACGCATCCACCCCACCAGATCACCTGATGAGCGCACGTACCACCGTGAATGGATGGATGGATGTCAGATCCATCACAATTATGGGGCGGACACACTTATCCTTTATCGTCCTTTGTATTGACTTACCCCAGAACATAAACCCTATAGAACCCTTTAGCCTTATAGGTTAGACGGCTCGTCACAAAAAAAAAAGCTTTAAAAGTTTTAATGTTAAGGTTATTTCTATAGCCGCGTTCTATTACTTAAAAAAATGTTAGTTTTTTATGTTTTAATATTTAGCTTTATGATTTAACTGCTACTTAACTTTAAAGTCTCCTTATTAAAAATTAAGCTGCTTTGTTATTATTGTTTTATTATTTTATATTTTATTTTATATTTTATTTTATATATTGTCAATAAGTATAAATATTCCAAACCATTTTTATTACTTTAAAAAATACTGTATTAGCTTTTTTAAAAAATATTTACTATAGAAACGTTAAAATATTAAGTAACGCTTTTTAAAAATGAAAAAGTATTTTAACATCGGTTATATTATCAAGCTAAATATATAGCAGTAAGTTTAATTAAATAGCTTTTTCAAAAACAATAAGTATTTTAATAAATAACGAAATAACTTTAAAAAAGTAATTACTTAATACTTTTTAAAAAAAAGTTAAAGAAATTAAAAGAAAAAAAAGCAAGTAAGAAGTAAGCAAGTATATAACCAAGGCTTTAATATATATATAAAGAGTTAATTTATTCGAATTTATTATGAAAATCAAAAGAAAATACTAATAATATTTTCTTAATTATTTATTTACATCTAATAATTTACTTGTTTAACTACGTGCTTTTAAGCTTAAAAAGGCTCAATTCATTTAGATTTATAATAAAATCGCAAGGTAATAATAATAATACTTTTGAAAAGCTTTACCGCTTTTTTAATTAAGCGATTTTACCGGGTTTTGTAGTATTAAATTTTTTTTTACTTTTAATATCACCTTTTAACTATATACTTTTCAGCTAGAAAATGCTTTTACATCGATCGTATCTTTAAATATGATTTTTTTGTTTTAGAATATATAACCATATAGCTTTATATTAATTATTATAACTGTAACACTATTATTCATAATATTTTCGTCGAGTATCAAATTTTCTTACGCTAAGGTTGTATTAAGGGTTAAGGTAGCTGAATGCTGAAGCAAGGTGTTAAATGGGAGCCGGAGATAGACACCGGAAGATCTCCAGTGGGGCAGAGACGCACAGGGCATCTGACCCACCAAGAAGACAGATGATCAAGCTCTTCACGCAGAGCAGGACAATCAATAGCATCAATTAACATCGGTGTATTCAACACAAGGTGATAGCGGTGATCCCAAGAAGTAGGTGTATGAGGATACTTCAATATATCCTGGTATGTTTGTAGAAATTAGGCGTTTTAGGAAATGTGGTAGTGGAGCCTTAGGGCTCCGATCGGTCACCAGTCGGCCTGACATGCCGGTGCAATACCCTTACAGCTAATCGAGCTTTTTAAAGTGGATTTCGTTTTAGTTTTAAGTTTAAACCTTAGTCTCGTAATAAATTTTTTAATATAAACGTATTTACCGATAAATAATATCATATAGGACTAGTTATAGCATTTCAAAATATTTAAACGTTTAAGTTTAATTACTAGCATTCTTTTAAAAAAAAATTAAAAGCTCAAAGGGTACGTATGAACCTTATAATATACGTTGTGTTTACCGAGCTTAAAAAAGGTTAATTCGCTCGTGTTTAAAGAAAAATCAAACGAATATATAAGTAGCATTATTTTTTTACGTGGCGCGTTTATTAATTACGTAAATTTTTCCCTGGCTTATTCATAACTATATAACTGTTTTAAAAATTTATATACACGATTAAAAAAACAGATTCTACATATATTAACGGCAAGGTTATTTAATAGTTTAAAACGGAAATGTTTTTAACCCGGCTAAAAAAAAATTTAAAGCAAGTTGAAAATCTTCGAAATAAAATTAATCAACGGACTTAGGTTTAATTTTTAATTACGCTATTATTCTTTTATTTTATTTTCAAAATATTTGTCAATAATTAACATTATATAAAGCTAATCATAGCTTGTATAAATGTTGTGATGGCCTGCACAGACCTTCCCACATGACAAGCGGATACTTCCCAATAGGGGAAGGATCTGACCAAAGGATCCCCTTAAAGGGGCAACCTCCCACTGTACCTATCTCTCTCTCTCTCTCTTCCTTTTCTCTCTAGTCTTGATATTCTCGTCAATAGAGTAATAGCTGCTTGCTGCCGGCTATGTCCCAGCTCCTCAGTACGCTCGCCGTGACAGATGTTTAAAGGCTTGAATTTTATTGTTAGCAATTTTTTTAATTTAATATAAAGTTTAAATATTTGAGTAAAAAGCTATTATGAATTTAAATAAAAGGCTACATAATTTTGAAGCTCTTAAACTTATTTTTTTAAATATTACAACCTTTTAATTTTATAATTATTTAGTAACAACGACATTAATACGTTTTATATCTAAGTTTTATCGTTCTTAACGTTTTTAAATTATTACCAATTTTAAAAATTAACCGAAATTGATCGTTATTTAATTATTAAAGGTGAATTTTTAATTATTTAAGTTAAAAAATCGTTATAACTGATATTTAATATAAAGGCTTTGTTCTTTAACGAAATAAAGAGTTTTAAAGTTAAATTAAATGATTTAATTAATTAAAACTAAAAGCTGTGTTTAATTAAATGGGTTTTTATCTTCAATTATTAACCTTTTTATATTTTACAAGATATTTAAGCGTTATCAATACGTTCATAAATAAATTTTAATAGGCTCAAATGCTTGAAATGCTTTATAAGTGTTTTATAATTAGCTTAATAAGCGTCGCGTTAAGATAAGTTATAATAGCCGTTAGTTTTTATATTTACTTTTATATAAACCGGTATTAATAATTTGATAATTAACGCTCGTACGAACTTTTGTTTTATTTTATTTAAAAGATTTAATTTATTCAACTTCAATATTAAGTTTATATTATATACAACGCGTAGTTTTTTTTTTCCAGATTTAATCTCATCGAGTTAGTTATATAAATGTAATGTTTAAGGGTTAACGAAATTAATATGTGTCAACCGATGACCTACTACTCAATTTTACCTTGAACATCTACTTGTTGTGTAAGCTTTATAGACCGTACGCCCTTATTGCATGCATTATGTGGGATTAGGCTTTGATGAGCACTTCTATGTCGCTGTCTAGTAACTAATACGCCCATTGCAAACAAGTGACACATTATTGTAATCGATATTTATACCTCTTACTCAGTTTGCAGCTTATCGAAGGAGCTTGTGTTACGACAATGAGTAGCCCACAGGATTGACCCCTATATATACCGGACCATGTCTTCTAGCTAGCTTCACAGTTTCCTTTCCTCTTCATGTTTATCAATAGAAGTCATTCTGGAGTCACCAACAGTCGTACTGTGGCAGCTTGTTAAAAGAAGGCATTAACGACCCGTGAATGCTGTCAAATTCTCAAAACCAATGCTTACCTTAGGTAGTTGGCTACGTGATAGCTATATCAAGAGCTGTTTCCTTCTTGCTATTAGCTGGATTCTCAAGCTATATAAACACAGAGTGTCCTTCCCGTCTAACTCGTCGCTGGGGAACAGATGAGAACCGCCCACACACCACCCTCTGAGACATCACTTTCTGTAAAAATGATTCTTCTCTGTTTTCGGTCATACCCTGTCTCTTTCGCCCCCGCGGATTCCATACCAGTTGTAACTTACTCAAGCTTCACCTCGTACCTCCCAACGAGGGTTATATCACCCTTCACTCAAGGTTTACCGACATCGACTTGGAAGCTCTGCTGCAGGACGCGACCGAGCACCTCGGAAGGAATCCCACAGAAAGAACACGACGAAGACTGGACCGCATTAGAAATTAGTAGCGGCAGCGACAAATATGGGTGGCGAAGATCGCATTTTCAGACTGTCGAGCCGGCCTGCGTGTGCATCGGCGGTTTCGAGAACCTCTATGCGGCACGTCTTTAACCAGCAACCCTCCAACGACCAAAGACGACCGCGAGTTTGTGGCCAGGCTCGATAAACTCATGGAGAGGGTGGAGATTGATCTCGCCGGTGGGTTTGCTACATGCGAACCACACGAAGGTCTGACCAGCGACAAAGGGACGTCGCAGCAGCCATGAGTAACGACCCTCATCCCGATGAGCATTCGCTCCCGAGCAATCCACAATGCTTCGGCCTGATGCGCCAAGGCGATGGCTTCAGCGGTGAGCTCCCGCTAGGATATTCCATGACGATCACCACGATTCATTATCATGGTCAGCATTCCTACGCTGCTGGCTTCGGTCAACCGAGAGCGCCCGTACCGCCGTTTCCATCGGCAGCGACTCGCGTACGAGATGATATCTATAGCCCCGAAACAGACTCCCACACGAGCTGATGTCGCTGCTGACCCAGACTGGACCACTAACGATGACTATGGCTCAAAAAGTTTCAGAAGCCTGGTCGAACACAAGCCTGGTCGAGAACCACGACTTAGTCGCCGCTCATTGGTATCGTGCTGAGCACCTACTGTACAGCACCAAAGCCTACTCTTTGGCTCCTGGTGGCACTAAATGAAAGAAAAAACCCGAATACCTCGCGGTTGATGTTGCAAAACGCAGCATGGTACAGTATGATGGATCCCAAGATGTAGGTGAGTATATGCGCCTGCTAACTTATTCGGGACTTTCAAGGCCTCAAACACGTACTACAGGTTCCTTCGCCTCCCGGGGATGCCTTAAATTACTGGACAAGTAATTGGTATACTTATATGCTCTATTATTTACTCCAAGTCGCTTGGCTACGGGTGCCCTCGCCCGGGTAACTAGCCGCAGACCTAGCCATCGAGCGGCGCCGCTTTTTCTCGATTGACTTGAAGAGAGATTTGGAAGTTTCAGGCAGATAGCAACGACAGAGTCGATTGCTGCCGACGACGCATCACATGCACAATATCGTTGCCGTGCTTCGTCGAGTATGGGTCATCTTAACCCCTCGGGCGGAGAACACAACAGACACGAATGACGGCCTTGCCGAGATGTCATCTGGAATCAACAGCCGATTCGCTTCGTTAAACCTTGAGAATTTTGAGTACGAAATCGATGAGCTTATGATCGAGTTCACTGCTGATGATGGTAGGTATACGATGTGTAAATGTACTCAGCAGTGCGCTAACTCAGTCTCAGATGTCCCCGACGAAGACATCCTTTACGGGCCATAGATTCTACCGAGCCCAGACGAACTTTTCTGGAGATTCCGAGTCCTTCTATGGGATCGAGGGACCATGCGGAAGGCCATTTGCGAAGCTTGGTCTAAGTATCGCAACGGGGACCTGGACCTTGCCGAGCGGCAGCGGTAATGACCTTCCCCTATTCGCCGCCGTTCACGAATCCACCATTGGTCGCGAAGTACCGATGGCGAACTACCTCAGAGTCGACAATGACGCAGTTCTGGGGCAGAAGTTTGATGCCTTAGAGCCCCTATTCATACCCGCTTCTACGTCGCTCTCGGCATTGCATTTCTTCTACGCCATCCGACATTACGCCAGCAACAGATTCATACGCATTCATCCCGGATTCAGCGGCATTTATGACCCGAAGGGCCACTGGGAGACTCTCGAGGAGGAGCAGAAGTGGCAACAGCACCGAGTTCTCATAATGGAATGCCTCGTGGAGATCAACACATTGGCTAAGGTTTCGGACAAGTTTCCTGCAGTAGACGAGTTGACCCGTGCCGTAGAGATCCTTTTGGACGAAGGACCACGTGATGACTGTCCGCCAGTTTGCTTAGGGTTAGTCATAGCAATGCTACTTAGTGACGGATCCTAGTCCGTTGGTTGCCCTGACGATATGCGACATAGACTCAGACAAAGGCATTGTGAATACCTATTAATATTGGTTATACAAAATTCAAGTACTACGCATGTATCTAAAAACACTAGAAACCCCCAAACCACGCTACCTTATGTACACGATCGCTTACATAGCAAGAGCAAATAAGCCAGCCAAACCCATAAGCGCAACACTAGCCCCCGTCTTGACGGTCCCACTAACGGTGACCGGTACAGTCTCACAGCCAGAGCCATAGCACCCACTCGCATAACCGCCACCCATCGAGCCCGGCGCCGTGCCCTTGGCCGGCGAGACGGACGTTGTCAGAGTGGCATTGTAGCCCATCCCGGCGCTGGTGACGGGGACCACGGTCGCGGTGACGATGACCTCGACGTTGCCGCCGCTGCTCTCGGTACCGGCACCGGCACTGCTGCTCGCCGCCGCCGCCGACATGTGGGCCGTCGTCGCGAGATACATGGTCGAGGTCGTCGTCGTGGTCTCTACGACCATCGTGCTGCCTCTCTCTGTCACGGCGATGGCGGTGGTATCGGGCGTGTAGGTGCTGACCGCGCCTCCCGAAGCAGGCTGGGTAGCGACGACAGTGGCGGGGTTGGTGGCGCTGCCGTTTTCGATGCCAGAGTCGGATCCAGAGCCGGAGTTTGATCCAGAGCCAGATCCAGAGCCAGATCCAGAGCCGGAGCCGGTGCCAGAGTCGGAGCCGGTGCCAGAGTCGGAGCCGGTGCCAGAGTCGGAGCCGGTGCCAGCAGAGCCAGTTCCAGTTGAGCCGGGAGCAGTGACAGCATCGGTGGCCGAGGCGCCGAAGGTGCCGGTAGCGTAGCTGCCGCTGTCGACGGGGCAGACAGTGGTCGTGACGTAGATCTCACTAGTGACGGAGCCGACGGGGCAGTTGGTGACGGTGGGCTTGCAAGACGTGATGGTGTAGGTCTTGGTCACCTCGATGGTGCTCGTGATGTAGCCTCCGGGGACGCCTGCAACGGCAGTGGTTGTCGGCTTGGGGTGGGAGCCAGTGGCTGTCACTGGGCACACGGTGGTTCCAACGGAGATGATCTCGGTGGTCACGTAGCCGCGAGCTAAGCAGTTCGTGACAGTCGGCGCACACGATGTGATGGTGTGCACGCTGGTAGCATAGATGGTCGACGTAGTCATTTCGGTGACTCCGGATGAAGTCGGTGTCGGTGAAGCAGTGGTGCTTGAGTTTGCGAAGTGGTGAGATGAGGTCACAACACTCGGCATGTGTGAAGAGCCGGAGTGGCTTGAGATGATATGGGCGGATGAGCTCGCTGAAACGGAAACTGAGGCCGAGGAGCTGCTGATCGAGGCAGATGATGTGGCGGAGCTAGTTCGTGCTGAGGACGTCGACATGGTCGACGATCTGCTAGAGACAGTCGGTGAGGTGCTGGAAACCGTTGGCGATGTGCTAGAGACCCTCGAAGAAGTGCTGGAGACTCTCGAAGAGGTGCTGGAGACGGAAGAAGAGGTGCTGGACACAGCGGACGAAGTTGACGAAACAGCGTTTTCTACGAGATTGTAATACTTGATGTCCTTCACCTTGAAATAGGCATCCTGGAAATCATCGTGCTTCGCCGCGACATATGACGCGCAAGTGTCGTAGCCTGTGGACGCGCTGCAGCTGGCGCCCCATTTGTCGGTTTGGCCGGCAACACCACAGAAGTCGATGTTCAGGACCATCTTCATGTCCTTGAAAGCCGCATCAATGTCGCACGACTTGATCATGTACGACGGTGTGCCCCACAGCGAGCTGGGCGCCGGGTTGCCACTCAGGATGTCCGCAGGCACGGCAGACCGGGTCCAGTCCCAGATCTTTATGTAGTCGCTGGTCCACTCCATGGCGAAGACGCCGCCAGCGGGAGAACCAAATGTCGGAGAATAGTCCGAAGCTGAGCAGCCTTGGTAGTTCCACTGGCCCTCAGCAAAGTCGTAGCAGTTGGGCGAGTCGATAGTCGACGTCATGCCGTCGCTCACAATCGTGCACTCGCCCACCTTGCTGGGAGAGTCGACGTGTGCGGTGTGCCGGTTGAAGTTCAGGTCATTCCAGTTCTCGTAGATATCTATCTCGCCCTTGCTGGGCCAAGGCTCGCCAAAGAACCAGCTACGCAGTCGTCAGTATGAATTCCGGCTATGTGTGACTCGATGAGCTCCTTACAAAGAAGGCCATGCTCCACAAGTTGGCTTGGGAAGATGTGTGAAGTCTGCGATGACAAGACCGTGGTTGTAGACGTTGTGGCTCTCCACTCTCACACTCTTTCGGCCACCGCTCGAGACCGAGTACGTGTTCGCATGGTCGGCACCGATATACATCCCATCAGCTTGGTAGCCGACGAGCCCAAGAGTCTTCGCGTCATCATAACTCTGAAATTGAACATAACCGCCGTTGGGATCCGCACTCTACAGACAGAAGATCAGCAACTGTCTCTCTAGTACGGGGCCCCCCTATATTAGAGACTTACAGTGACGAAGTCGAACTTGTCAAAGAAGTTAGTAGCGTCGTAAACTTCAGAGATCTTATAAGACTGGGTTGCGCTTGCGGAAGCAGCAAAGGCGACAGCGGCAGCGCCGACTGTTCGAATGAGTGATGGAGCCATCGCTATGGCTATAGTGTGTGATAATGAGTGACTGGAGGCAAATAAGCGGAAGGATGACGTGCGATACGTCGAGGGACGAGCAGATACGCTCTTGGGTCGCGAGACAGACTTGACGATGGGAGCAAGGAGTGTCAGAGAAAGGGAACCTCCAACGGAGACCCAGGGGTTGGGACGATATATCAATGACTACGCATATCGAGCGTGCCATACCCCTAGGACCACCATCCATTCGCAAGTGCCAATAGTCCCTGGATGGTAACCGACGTTGGCTGCTTGCGCGTAGAGTTGCCATTGTGATTTGTGACGGTGGGCTCATTTCAGGAGGTTGACAGGACTATGCTGCCACTAGACTGAACAAAAATGCAGCCCCATTCTGTCATGTTCTTTAGCTCCCAAGCCAGGTCAATGGCACAGTTGCCAAAGAACTGATAAGGCTGCCGCGTAGTAGTCGTCGACGATGTTGGTGTCGTTCGGGCAGTGCCAAATAGCGACTATTGATGATCTTGACAGTCCGCTCCAACGTGGCTGACAGGGGGTAGCCCCCCTAGTCAATGTGACAGCACTGGCCAGAACAAAAGACCGACAGGAGAAAAGGGGGTCTGGGGAATAGCGCCGATGACTGTGTTGGGAGCATTGAAACACTCCCGTATGATCAGCTACGGGGTGGGAGAGCAACGTGTACCGGGATCGAATAAACGTTCGTAAATGCTTTACGCCTTCAGAATGTAGATAGATCACGTATTGTACTGCGGCCATGCGAGATACAATTCACCAACATCTTCATCTTCATCGCGGCGAGCACGTAGCCCTAAAAAGAGTAGACAAGTCCGCTGGCACACGATCCACTTGGAATTCATCTGCTCAGACGAACGCTTGCTGCCAATTCGGAACCAAGCATGGTTCGGTGCGGCTGTGTTGCTTATTTCGCTGGGCGAGACGGCCAGAAGACCCAGGGTCTTGGCCTCGGCACCAGGGCGCTTTTAGAGCGAAGAGAGAGAGAGTTGGGCGCCGGGCAGATATGAATGCGCATTGCATACGTCGCGGGGACGGTCGGAGCCGAACAGAAGAAACGGCGTCTTTATATGCTGTCGCGATATATCGCGGAGTATATATCCAGAGGAATGAAGTTTTCGTGATGTTAAATTTGCCATTATTTCTCTCTGGTGGTTGAAGTTGAGAGGCGAGAGGCGCCTTATCGCCAAGTGTGGGTCGGGTGCTGCCAGCCCCCTGATCTTGATCTTCAAGGGTCTACGCGATTGGCCGGGGCGGCCCCGGATCGCCGCGGCCCCTAGAAGCGATTTGCGCTTGGGTGCTGTCGCTCAGGTTGGCAATGACCACCCTCCCGTCTCAGTCCCTATGGGTGGCCGACGCTCAGGGGAGACAGGACGATCAGTAGCGATGTTTACCTATATTATATTGAGGTAAGTTTATTTCTCGCTCCATCCTCTGCTCAGAAGCACTGGCTACCAAGGTACATGTAAGCAATGCCTCTGCAAACAGTGGCCACAGTCAATGCAGCCCCATTGGGAGTCCGTGTCCCCTTAAATCCGATCTATCTCGGGGACGTCTAAGGTACCTCCTACTAAGTTGGGATCACTACTTCTACATATCACATCACATGTAAGCTGTATCTCATCGGAACCACCCCGTTTGTGCTATGTTACTTACCATATAGTAGGTTGTGACTAGCCCAAGAGAACAACAGTGATGGTGCAACATGACAGGATGAGGTTGTGCGACAGAACTCATCTGACATCAGTCAACGTATCCTCAAGGAGTCAGAAACAGAAGGTATAGGACGTCGTTAGAACGGAAGGACTCGAGCTCATAATCCTCCATAAACCAGCTGGCTGTTTGTTTCTATGTTCTGCGTCAGCCAGACGGCAAACGCTGGCGTTGACTGGGTACTACCGTTGCCCTTGCGCGCCAGGCAGCTGCAAGCTGTGTCAATATGACTTCGTGTATAGGAAAACCGTCTCTGCACTCTCAAAACCTCATATGCGCCTTCAATAGAGAATACACGATCTGTTCACTGTTCCCTGTTCACTTTCGCTCCAAGAAACCGCAGTTCATTCTCAGCGACCTCAGGTACTGTCCTAATCTAGGTATTGTGTGGAACTCATCGTCTAAGAGCCATTGTCTGCCCGTACCTGTCCGATGTATACATCTCGCCGACACACCTCAACTATAAAGATCTTGTTGGGCAGACCTACCTTTCTCCAAACGCATGCTTCAATCTGAGAGCAAGCATCTGAACCGCGCAAACATCTCGTTCGACCAATCCTGCACTCCGCTGGCGGAGCCTTGCTGCCTCAGAATGGAGACATCACCTCGTCCAAACAGTCCACCACCACCGCACCCTGGAACGCCACTGTCCCGAAGACCTGGCTATGTCGTTGCCCTACTCACTCTAACTTCGTTCCTTGTCGAAATGGGCCTTACCCTCAACGAGGTCCCCTCCGTCTCCGTCGTCACGGCGCTCATATGCAGCCGCTATTACAACTACGAGGTACCTGCCGAACAGCTCACCGAACAAGAATGTACGCAAAACACACAGGTCGTGGAAGAGGTCAACCGCTTCCTCATGATAAACACCATAATAAGCTCCATACTCAGTAAGTCCTCTCTTTCCCGCTCCGATTAGCTGCTACCCACCCTATGGGAATAATATCCGCTCCTTGTCTCGCCAAAGTGCTAATTATCATGACTGAAGCACTTCTGGTGGCACTAGCCTTCGCCGCCGCCGCTGATGTATATGGCCGCAAGCGAATCTTCAGCTTCTGCATCCTCGGTATGCTCCTGAGCAACGCCCTGAGCGTCCTGTTCGCGCGCCTCGTGCCGAGTGTATCGGTTGAGTCCATCTGGTGGGCAAACGTCGCGGTGCTTCTGGGAGGAGGTTTCAGAGTAGCAGAGGCGCTCGTCTTCACCATGATAACAGATGTAGCAGACGAACGGTGGAGGTATGCAGCCCCCATCCCCCCTTACCTTGCGACCTTGTGCCCCCCAGAAACTGACAGCGTCCGTAGAACGACCTGGTTCCAAATCGCAATATGCGGCATCTTGCTGGCAGAGATCCTGGGTTCGCTCCTGAGTGGATTTCTACTCGGCGAGTCACTATGGCTGCCCATGTATCTCGGACTCGTCTTCCTCGCCGCCGGCCAAACTCTCGCATTCTTCATACCCGAGACTCTACACATGCGACACCTAGAACAGCACAGGCAACACTCACCACTTGCCACACCCCCAACGAGCTTGTCCACGCACATCAGGTCCATCTGGCACTCCATCAAAACAGCCATCCCATCGCTCCCCCACAGCGGCATCCTCCCCCTCCTACCCGCCGCATCCCTCGTCATCCCCCTAGGCACAACCGCCATGTTCACCATGATCCAAGCGCTCCCGACGCGCTACGCCACCACCTTCGCGCAATCCAGCCAGTACGAAGCCCTCCGCGGCGGCACCAACCTCGCCGTCCTCCTCATCATCCTGCCCCTGCTCTCCTACCACCTGCGCCACCACCCCATCCTCCGGCGCGACGCCCTCCTCAACCTCGGCTCCTCCCTCTTCTTGGTGGCGGGCATGCTCGTCATCGCCGCGGCGCCGAACCTGGCCGCCGCCCTCGTCGGCCTCGTGCTCTTCTCGCTGGGCGCCGGCGTCCCGGCGCTCGTGCGCTCCATCATCGCCCAGGTCGTCGATCGCGCGCACTGGGGCGCGCTCTTTGGTGTCTTGGCTGTGCTGGAGCAGCTGGGCGGGCTGGTATTCTCGCTGGTCATGGCGGCGTTGCTGCAGAGGGGGCTGGCGGAGGGAGGGGGCGGAGGTTCGTTGGGCTATCCGTTTTGGTTCGCTTTTGCTGTGTTGGTGATTGTGTGTGCTTGTTCTTGGTTTGCGCGTCCGAGGGCGCCGGCGGGGATGATGGGGGAGGAGGATGCGGTGGAGTTGACGCGGGCGCGAGGGCCGGGCGGTGGTGTGGAGAGAGGTGCTGATGGTGTTGACTCGGCGGCTTCGAGAGAGTAGATGTGTGCGATGTTGCCCCTATCCTATGGGTGCCGGTGCGGTCTTCCGCCGCTTCCCCTTAAGCTTTGTGTAGCGTGGTCGTTCGAAATTTCCTAGTGTTAATCAATCACCAGCGCTGAACTATGCTTTCTCTTCTCTTCAAGCACTTTCTTCTGCTGTCGCGGTGCCCATAGGAAGCTGAATAGGGCCATCGCGGCGACCACGGGGACGACGAGTCCAGCTGCTATGGCGGTGTTATTGTTTCTCTTCACGTCGGAATGCGGTCGACCCAAGAGTTGAGAGAGAATGATCGCCGAACGAGAGATTGGCACGACTGGAAGAGACATAGGACGTCATCGTGTTGGATAACTACGGGTCTGTCAGCGCTGACCCAACGGCCGACATGACGGGGAACCTGCGATTTTAGGCTCATACCCATTCTCAATGTCTTGCTCTATGATATTGAAACATGGCGACGACGAAGCGAATGTCAAGATGAATCAGCAGGCAGTCAAGTCGCAAATGCGGAAACAACCTATGAACGAGTGAAGTCTACTATCTGCTAGCTTACAGATCCATTCTGCGCCTGGCCTCTCTTCCCTCCAGAACAGAGGCAATCTCCCAGCCCGAACTTGAACGCGGCGACACGCGTTTGGTTTTGCATACACCCGTAGCGCTCGTGCACTCAATGAGAATCTTAATCCGGCACGTCGTGTATAGGAATGGCAATGATCAAAACCCCCATTCTTCCGGGGCCAATGCGACATGTGTCCAACCTTTCATGTCGGGGAACACCTTTTCCGTCGTGCCGTCATCATTATGCGCCGGCGCCCATTTTCTGGCTTCACCGTCCCAGTTCCTGTATTTGCGGAACTTTTGCGCGGCCTCCTTTCCTTTAAAGAAATAGAGATCGTATTCCCCTACCCACATTCCCATGATTGACCACGTCTTACTCTCTCCGAACTCTTTGATGTCGACTGGGACGAAGTCCTTGTCGATAGTGACTCCCCATTTGCGGTCGAAGTCTAACTACACCCCCATTCCCCTAGGCAACAACGCATCCGGGTAATCATCAACCCACCCTTTCGGGGACCAGACAACATATGTCCAATCTTCCATGTTGTCGAACACCTTCTGACGCTCGCCGTCTTTATACGGCCATATTCTCGTTTCGCCTACCCATTGCTTCTTAGCACAAAGTCTTCCGCGTCCTTCTCTCTCTTGAAGAAATACAGATCGGAATCTCCCATTCCCACGATTTCCAACGTCTTGCTGGCTCCGAATGCTTTAATGTTGACTGGGGCGAGGGGAAGGTCGATGTTGATTGTCGGTTTGCCCTCGAAGTACAACGCCACCCCCATTCCCCTAGACACCAACACATCCGAGCGTTTATCGGGCGACCCGTTCGTGGCCTTGATAACATATGCACACCGGTGGTTCTGGTTGTAATCCTCGTAGTCCGCCACGTCCGTCTTATCGCCCAAACCGACCCATGTGCCGTAAAATACCCATTTCGGGTTAGGTTTACAGAACTCTTCCGCGCCCTCCTTATTTTTGAAAAAAAAAGGAGATAGAATTTCCCCATATCCGTGACTGTCAACGTCTTGCTGGATTTGAATCTTTCGATGCTGAATGGTTCGAATGCTTTATGTATCTCGAGGGGGTGCTTGTCGTCGAATTGCAACTTCATCGCCAAAGCATGACGCACCGACACACCGGAGTGATCATCTCGCCTGTCTTTCCGGGACACCAAGGTAGGATCCGAATCCCAACCCGTCTCGTCATGGGAATTTGTATTCTCTCGCCAGCCTTTCCGCGACAAGACAGCAATATGCCAATCTCTCATGTCGTCGAACACCTTCTCCCGCTCCCCGTCCTTATACATCCATGTTCTGAATTGTCGGTCCACCAATGTCCCGTCATTACAGAACCATAACGCGTGCTCTGCACTCTTGAAGAAATACAGTTCCAATTTTTCCATTCCCTTGACGTCCAAGTGCTTCATGTCATTGCCTCCGTAATATCTGAAATAAGGCTTATTTATTCTGAGGTCGTATGGGTAGAGGATTTGCTCTGCTTCGAATGTCCCGGTGTCGTCAAAGTACAGCTCCACCCCCAGAGCATTAGGCACCCTCCCTTTCGGGGACATGACAACATATCTTGGGGGTAGAACTCCCAATTGTACCAGGGCCTTGAAATGTGATCGATCCATAAATCGTAGGGCCTTGACGAGCCCTCCTGCCAGGGCCATATGATGGCTTCACCCCGCCACTTCTCGTCAGCGCAGAACCCTTCTGCGTCCTTTTCATCTTTGAATAGATAGAGTTCGAAATCTTTCGTTTCCGTGACTTTCAAATTGCTGTTTGAGGGCACTTGGACGTTGAATGGGACGAGTTTTTCGTTTTCGTGTATCTCCAAGGTTTGCTGGCCGTGATCTCCGGCGTTGAAGATCAACTTCATCCCCAAAGCATTGGACGCCAACGTGCCGAGAACAGCAGCCTTCAACAGTGTCGTCTTGGGCCACAACATGATTGCGGTTCGAGCGGTTGGAAAGCGAGTTTGTCACTGAAACGATAGGCTTGGTCTGAGAGATCGCAGAATTGTCGAGTTTGAGTGGTAGAGTCTAGAGTGGTAGAGTCTAGAGTGGTAGAGTCTAGAGTGGTAGAGTCTAGAGTGGTAGAGTCTAGAGTGGTAGAGTGGTAAGATTGAAGAATCTGGGTACAGTGCTATTGAAATTGTGATTGTAGACTTTGGTACCTAAGATGGTATGTGCTCATCGAGGCAACTTGCCACATTGAAGTTTTGGAAGACCACAGAGGCGCGAGCATCCAACGCATCATGCCATGACATAATGACCCGCTCTGTGCCGGTGTGGTGACCATCTGTCGGCGAGAGCGAACCCTGTTCCCTTCAGACGAAAAAGGGTTCGTAATCCTCTAGGTGTCTGCCGTACCGTGCCGTGCGTGCCTCTTCCTTCAAATGGGATCTTATACAGGGGCATGGCCAACGCACGCAGGTTAACCTTGAACTGTTTATATACTTAGCAAGTGGACACCTCACCATGTCAAGATATAAGAGACCGACAATAATCATACCGCGTTGAGTATGTTTGCGAGCTGGCAGCTCTGGCTAGCTAGCTTAGCCCTCGCGTGTCCCGGAAAAGGGGCACGGACGGTCTAAACCAAGCGTTCGTCGGTCTTACTACAGGTGAGAACGATTGCGCCGAGGTAAATCTTTCCGCTGGATTTTCTTGTTTTCTTACCTACTACGTACATGATGTCAACGTGTAAGCGTGTAATGAACCCATAAGGCATACGGCGAGTCCGACCTGTGTCGGTAGGTGTTAAGATATCTGGACTTCAACAGGGGCTCAGCAGCTTCATGGCCAGCCAGCCAGCATAACTGGCGATTCGAATTCCGTCTCCAGTTGACTCCCTAATATATGCACGATACAAAGTAACTTATCGCCAGGAAGACCACTGCAGTGCCGCAGACCCCTGGGGCTATGCGATACAGGACCACCGAGTAACCTAGCAGGCCACCGACAGTCTGGCGCAGAGGCAGAAAATACGGACCAGTGACGCGATAGAAGAGACGCAATGGGCATGTATTATTTGATTCAATAGCTCCCAGGGAAGGGATAGTTCATCGTCGAAAGCGAGGTTACCCGTTATGAATGTCATGTGTGCCGAATAACGCCGTTTGGATATCTCTTTCGTCCTTTGACCTGCGTCTCCAGGAAAGCCACGCAAGCAACTGCAGTAAGTCCCATAACTCCAAATCCGGCTACATAAAGCCAAGTGACCTTTTCATCGAGGGCATTGGTTTTCTCTACCCGTTGGCCGCCCACACGTACGCTCGTCTCTCGCTGCAACGGTGGCCATCTCGCGCATAGCGCCGCCGCAGCAACGACCCCCCTAGTCCCCACTCCCGCCAGCATCACATAGTATAGCCAGCCGTGGGATCGTCATAAAGATACAACTCCATCTCCCCTGCCGCCGCGCCGATAGTCGGATCGTAAGCCAGCCCCGGAGGCGGGTACTGAGGTGCGGCGCCCTGATCGCTCTTGAGCTTCACGTACTCTGCCTGCAGGCTAGCATAGGCCTGGTTGAGCACGTCGTTCTTCTGGTCGGCCTCGCTCAGGAGGGTCTCGAGGTCCTTTATGCGCTGGTCTTTCCTCTCGCGGTAGGCCCGTTGCGATGCCCGGTTCTGGGCTCTCCGACGCTGCGCGGGGGTTTGCGTGTTAGCAAGCCCGATTCTGGATTTTACCGACTGCGTGAGACTTGAGGCAGTTGGGTCGCTTACAGATAGGACCGACGGTGGCGCGTTCTTGTATCTGTTCTCACGCTTCCGTTTCGTCGCGGGTTTAGACGCTGTCTGCTGTGACTCTGTCTGGTTCGCGTCCCCCGACCCGTCGGTATACTCTGGGCTGGCATATACGCCTGAGAAGGCAAGATCGTACTGTAGGCTGGCTATCAGACAGGCACGTTCACTTCTTGGGCTGGAAGCTTCCTACGGGTGACGCCATTGGACTGGTACTCGACGAGGTACTTGTGGAGTCGAAGTACAGTTCCGTATCACCATATACGCAGAACGATGGATTGGAGGGCGAGGGAAGGTCGACGATGACAGTGATCTCGTCCATGGCGAGACAGGTACGGTATCAAGTTCCCTTCAGACGATTGTTCGGTTCAAAGTAGCACTTGGTCGTATGATTGCACGGCTAAGAACTGGGTTGTGTTATCAAATTGGTATGAATAAGAATTCTGCTGCTGACATCTGAAGCACAGGAGCAGGCATCGAGTATAATATATCTTACATGTGTAGACACATGCTTCTGGGCTGCAAGTCCCCTGTTCGCAATGACGAGCCAAGCTTTGGCCTGACATGTTCACATCCCTGTCTGTCAGGTACTTTGGCTACTCTGGTAGGCTAGATATCTCGCGTGTTCGAGATGGAGGATAGCAGCAAGTATTCACATGTACCTCATCACCCCTGGAGGCACGGGTACAGGACCCGGGCAGGCCCGGCAGCCTGAATAGTGGCGCCCGTCTAGCCGCGTCTGGAAACTCTGTGATTCCGTGCTGCGATGGCTCGCGAATAGCCACCCAAAGAGGCTAGCTAGCTGTTTGGGGCGCCAGGAAACTCGGAAAAGGAGCTGTATAGGTTGTAGCGGGGGACGGCGGGCGGATGAGCCCTCTGGTATACCATAGGAAGTGAGAGGTGGGGTGTAAGGTAGCAGCAGTATGCGCCACTATGCACTTCCATCTGCAGGCTCTTCTGCTGCGTACATGGCTATACATGTCTTCGCTGCATAGCTTACGTACCGAGGCAGTGTAAGTAATCAAATACTCTGCACCGGTGTTCCAGAACACAGCGCTTACCTCGACCAGACCGCCTCAGCTAAACAACAGACAACCTTTGCTCGCCAAGCATGGCCGACTTTGGCATCCCGGGCTTTGCTCTTGTGGAGTTGACGTCAAAACAAAAGGGATATGCCTGTTCATGTAAGCCAGATATGCAATCACGATGTTACTCACGATCGCAAACACCTGCCCGTGCCCCCGGTACCCCCTGGCCAGTACCTGGATAATCAGGTCTGGGCCAAGCCCGTTCGAGTTTTATCACAGAACGCTGCTGCCGCCGTTGCCTCACGAAATCAGCCTTCACATCACAATCCCCGAACAGCCTATGCCACGGGTTGTGGCTGTCGATGTGCTGTCGAACTCACCGCCTCCCATTGGGTTGCGGTTGCACTCGATTGCCGTCCATAATGACGCGACCCCCTGACTTGGCCACGACCCTGCATATGTCGAGCTCGACGTTCGGTAAGTGTGCATATTGGCCTATCGAAGTTATAACGATTGGGCTCTCTAGGAATTTCGGATCCGCCCATCTCGTCACGGGTTACGCGAGCACCCATGATCAAGACAGCTGCTGACGCCAGTAGCCCGTATTGACTACCATCCTGCCCGCAAGAATGTATTTTGGTCCCTCAGCCCTACAACGACCCCACGGAAGGATCCAAGCAGCTTTCCCCAACCAAGGTAGAAAAGCGCTTCTATAGACTACTTGCATCAAGCACAGCTCAGCTCGGGCACCCCGCGGATCACCAGTTGACAGCGGGATGTTGCCGCTGACGACGCCGGTGATCACCGGTGATCCCCGCCATGGCGGATACCCTTCGGCTTTTGAATCCGAGGCGGAGATGCCGCGGGTTTTGGTCGCAATGTATCTCGGGATAAGCTGCACCGCTCTTATCGATTTTCCAATGCACAATCCCGGGGAGGACCCCTGGCCTGCCAGCCTGACAGGAGTCACGCTTACGCCCTGCCATTGCCAAGCCGGTTTGGCAACCCCGTGCATCTTTCTATTTTTCTTCTGGTCAGCAGAAGTAAAAGTGGCAGATCGGTGTTTGTCCGTTTTGGCCAACCATCCCGTAGCGTCAGCTCCGGATCTGGAAGCACTGGTTATGCGATGGAAGTCTGACGTCCAGTTCATCGGGTCTGGTTTCAGGACTCCTCTCGCGTCACATACCCCAACGCCCAGCGGCGCGGGTCTGGAACGCCGTGTACTATACAGGGCGTGGTAGATGTATGTCAGACTGCACTCGCCAGTCGACTTCGATGAGGATGCGAGCAGTCAGAAGTCAATTCCACGCGGCCACTGCCACTTAAGTTTCCCAATATACGCCGCTCCAGTTGTGAGAAACGCCGTAGAAACTTCTGATGTAAAATTGCAGACCTACCGCTAGGTACGCGCAATACGAGAAGCGATAACCAAGCGGCAGTAAAGCGGCATAAGCTCCTGAGCCTACCAGCAAGAAGTGTGAGCCTCGAAAGGGGGGCGCCGCAAGCTGTCGAGTGGAGTCTGTACTAGAGCCATCGAAGTTTAGATAGGCGTTACTACTACACTTCCCAAACGCATGACAGTTTCCACTAGTGAAACTTGCAGCAGTTCATCTAGAATGGCATTCTGCCTAGCTAGAACTTAAGAGCGAACTGTGAGGTTTATATAGCAGTGCACCCAGGTCCAGCAAAGCGTCATGGAACCCCTGAAACTCTGAGCAGTCCGGGGCTGGGACTGCCGAGTCTCACACGCAGCAGGCTTCCCTCTGCCGTGTTCCGAGACCGTGGCATCGTCGGTGTCGTGCTCACAGCCCAGTTTCGGTGGAGAAACCAGACTAGCAGATAGGGTTGGCTCAAAGACTGCTACTGCGATGACAGAACCAACCTCCTGAGTTCTGGAATCTCGGAGACTGTTCTGAGACTGTTTTGAGACTCTAGGGAAACGGTTGAATGACATCAAGTCCCGTGCTCCCTCTCATATTAGCTCTAGCCCCCAAAAGGACTTCCCACGCAGCAAACCAAACGCGTTTCCAGTGCCGGCGTTCATCCTTAGTGCTGGGATGATATTGGATCCGCAGAACTGGTATGCCTGGCGGCGTATCAGAGGTACAGCTTGACGTAGGCACGAAATAGAGTAATTGCCATGTGCCCTTCTCCGAATAAGCTTTTTTGTCTCACATATACTGGAAGCTCCGCCGTATACATGCTTCGTTCTATGCGTATATCGACTGGCGTCCATGGGTGGAGTCTCACAGCCGTTCTCGTACCTACAGCAACCCACATCATGTGGTAGCCGTCCTGCCGATCACTGCTGACGTGCCAAGAGATCACCGGCAGCCTGTCGTGTAGGTTTATCCCCAGAGATGGGGTGAGATGGGATGCAAGGGGACAGATAGTCTGAGGCTTGGCTTCCGCTTGTGAGGTACACCCACATCACTGCAGGGCCCCCTAAATCAGCTATAGGGGGGCCACCTCAGCTGTGGGGCAGGCACGTATATCAAGCGGCATTGTAAGCATAGCGACGCTGGTTCCGCTACGTTGTCTCCAGCCGCTCGGCATTGCGAATTCCACGCCGGCATCGCAAAGTCGCAGATGGACTATCGTTGTTGTCCTTCAGCCGTGTTCGCCAGGGTCCATTTTGCAGTAGTTTTGGCACAGACGATGCCGAGTCAGCATGGGGGCCGGTGAACGTGTTGGCAGCTCACTCGGTGGCTTAGGGGCATCGTACTGGCGGGCTGCATTCTGCAGGGCTGAGAAACGTGCCTATTGCTTGCTTGCTGTCGGTACCAATTCCTTAGATACAGTTCTGAGCTTCCGGAAGGTAACCCGATATGAGTTACCTAATCCCAGATACCGAGGCACAGATCAGGCACATCATAAGTGACAGACCCGAGCAATAACAGACACACAGGACGCATATCCGCGGCGTAGTCACTGCGCCGTAAATGTGCAATAAGAGCCAGGGGCACCCCCATCCTGCGGTCCCGAAGAGCCGCACCAGCGACGCTCAGGGGTCGAGGACGCGGCGTTAAGGATTTAACGGCAAAGTAAAATGCCCTGGTGACAATTACGCCTTGTCTCGACTCGGCCATAACCGCGTCCTATCATCCCGTGCGTAGGTAGCTTGTGATCTTCGGGAAGGACTCCCGAGGCACAGGAGGAACCCCTCCGATAAAGCGTACTTTTGCACTGATCGCCGGTGAATAGGCTATCAACTTTCGAGTGCACCTAATTTGGGAAGCCTGAGTGGTGGCAGCAGCTTAGACAGAATCAAAGCAGACTAAGCCCTCTCGGCATATACCGCACAGGTCCCCGAGAAGAGTTGCCAGGGATAGCGGTATAGTAGAGGCCGGATGATGCAGCTTGATCCCTTGAGAAGTATAGTCCCCCTACGAGGTCCTGGCATACGCCCAAACGAACGCCATGACTATTTCAAATAAAGATGACATCACCCCTGGAACGTGACAAGTCCTTCTATGTACCGTACCGCCTTGGTTGTCTGATAATGCGTTCCATGCAAGTTACCGCGAGATGAACCATGGAATCCCCAAACAAAAAGCCGCAGAAACGGGGTCCATCGATAGTAACCGCAACACAATGCGACTCGGGCAGCTCCACGGGATGAAGCCTACCTAGGTAGAAGTGTGTGACTCTGACGGTGAGCTGAGCTGTATGGTCTTTCCTCACGCCCTGCCAAGGCCTGCTCGACCGAAGCCGTAAACGTGCATAATAAGCGTGGGAAAGGCGCAGGCAGGAGGTGTGGCGATGGGGGTCTAGGTTGGTCGTACTCCAGCCGTTTTCTGGCACGAGAAAGTCGTTACCGCTGGTTCGCGGCGCGCGATTGGCTACCCGGATCGAAGATGGGATCAAACGGCGGACTTGGCAAGTCATAACCTTAAGCATCATGCACGAGGCATGCATGTCAGACTGAGGTAGCAGCATCAGGTAATCCGTGGCGGTTTCTCGTGTTGCGTCCAGTGTGCTTAAATCAGGTCAGGTGGATGGCCCATGAGCGAACCGAAGTGCTGCAGTAGTCATGTGCCTGTTTGGGGTAGACAGGAGTAGAAGGCTCTTCTCCTACAATGGCCTATGCAAAGAAGCGAGTGAGGCACAGACACCTGCATCCCGAATCCAATCGTCGTGTCGCGGCCTAACGAAAGTCCAGGGCCCCTGAAGACTGGTCTGGCAGATCAAGCGGACACAGCCTCCGCCCTTCCCCGCGGGCCGGCCGCCGATAAACGGCGGGGACGAGAGCATAACTCTCATTCGGCCTTGCACGGTACATTCCAATCTTCAACATCTCGCATTGCATTTCTAGATGCGGTGCACGATAACCGTCGAGGATCATGTCTCTGCGGTGCGACAGCGGAAAAGAGACGCGATACTTTTGCGAGAGACTTCGCACAGATTTGGATACGACGAGTACTGGTGCTGACCACGTATTGATTGTGCTTTGGCTACTCTTCCGTCCGTCAACCTTACGAGGCGTTATCTGGCGGGAAGTTTGAGCCGCTAGCTTGTATGCAATGATTTTAATCCCGGTCGCTTGAAGATAGGAAATCATGGGTTTCATGGAATCACTGTTCCCGTCTCGAGAGAATCGAGAACCCCTGGCCTCGTCTCCTCATGACAGAAGCTGACGCTGCAAGCCACTCTTTTCCGACGGCCGCGATACCAGTGACTTCCTCACTGACTGGCATAAGAACAGCGCAGTAGACGATGACGTAGTATCGACATGCCCCTTGCTCTCTGCTTCGTCGTGAATCTTGGTCCGGTTTCGGCATTGCACAGTGGATTCATTATTATCTGTGATCTGCCAGAGTTGCTTGGGGGCTGTCAAGTCGAAATCGAGGGGTTCATCTAGGCAGTGCTGGCGACAGGGAGATATCAGACGCTTTCGAGCCTTCAATGGAGGGTTTTCGCGGGGTTATCCAGAGGCCCCAGTGGAGGGTCGTTAGTCTTGAAGATACTCCCTTCCGTTCCAGAGGACTCTTGTTGTTTCTTGTGAATTTGGCTTTGGAGAAGCGCGTGGTCTCTTATCTATACATACGTATATACAGTATGTGCGTGATGCACGTTAAACTGGCCGGTGGAAACCCCATCTCATATCGATCTCCAATGGTTCGCTTCGTTGTCTATGGAGATGAGTCGGGACGCAGCAGGATCTCTTGGGGACCGTGATTGTATTGGCACTTAGAAGTTGGACTACCCGATCTTGAGATGTCGTAACATGGACGCGTGCTTCATAAGGACTTCATTGGCGACGCGGCTGTTACCCGCTTCAGACCTTCCTGAGCCTGTATCGTGCCGGGATCGAAGGATATCTTCTTGCTCAGCGCAATGCTTTCTTTGAATTTGCGCTTAGCTTCCTCGACTTCCCCAGTCATCGCTGCGATGTCTCCAAGGTTGCACAGAGCCACTGCGCATGCTTCATCACATTCCTCCGTTCGGTCTTCACCCTTCACTTTCTGAGAGGCTTCTTGAGCGTGCAGCGCCCAGGCCCGCGCACTGGCGAGAAGGGTAGCTCGTGTTGGAGCTCGGCTAGTCTGTTCACCAGGCACAGTGGCTGCTGAGGTCTGTCGCTTCTCAAGTGGAGATTCTACAGGTTGCTGTGCCAAAGAGATAGCCAAGTTGTTCACTGTTGTGTAAACGCTCGTTAGTGTGATGTATCGAGATGATGTACCAAGGTGGAGGTTTCCCGAAACAATTCAGGAATTCAGCATCGAGTACTTACTCAGCACGGCAGTGTGGCAGCTATTTGATGGCGCCAACGTTACGGCCTGCAGAAATAACGGCGCCGAAAGATAGTGCTGGGACTTGGACTCGTAGTGGTTGCCCAAGGCTATAGCAGTGGTTAGTAGTGCATTGGCTGAATGAAATCATTGGTTTCAGGACGCTGCTGTCGTAGCAGTTGGACTTGACGTACCTTCGAGTGCACCTCCAATCTGTTCCGGGGTCATCCAATTACCCTCGCCTTGCTTCACACCATCGACCTGACGTCGCTGTAACTCCTTGAGCACGGTCTCAACAGCCCAGACCAAGCGCTCTCCGGCTGCGTCCCCTTGGAGGACATGCTCGTCTGCGTAGAGCTCTCCAAGCTTGACACTGATCCCCACTGCTTTCCCTAGGACTCTCGTCCTCTTCGCCCACAAGTTCTCCGGCTCGGGTTGTTCTTCAACCTCTCCGCCCTGTGCTGCTTCGGGTTTTGGCACGACCGGTGCATCGACCAACCTATTGCCATGTCAGCGACACGTCGTTTATCACCTTTTTGGTATGTGTACCAACCTTCCCGCGTTATCAACAAGCCCGTCTCGGACGCTCTTCTCCATCACATCAACAAATTTCTTGGAGTCTCGAAGAAGGGCCTCTAGCACGTCGATTGAGTTCTGGTAGCTTCCAATTGACTCTAGCCACGCCGCCAACTGGATTTTGACTCCCATTACTTCGTCGGAAAAGGGATCTAAGCCAGCCGCCGAACACTGTTCCAGAGCAATCTTGTAGTATTTCAGTGCCAGTCTCGCATCGGGCGCATAGTTGCTGTAGTACAAAGCACGACGGAGCGATTTGGCGATCTCGGGTGGGAATCGAGTAAACTGTTCGGACTCAAAGTAATTGAAGTAGGCATAAACGGCATAAACCGATACGCCAGCTACACCGCAGAGACTACAAGGCACCTCACGAGTCAGCGCGAATGCAGGCATGGGACGAGGCGGACGAATGATGAAACGTACAGAATTATAGCAAGTACAAGCTCCTCTGGGCTCTGGCGAAATAGAGAACGTAGGCTCTGTCCACGGAATGCGCTAAACAGAGGGCGAAAGGTGAGGCTTTGGCGTAAAGCTCGAAACAGCAGTTTCGCTGACGGCATAGGTTCCTTCTGCTCCTTCGGCTTCTTCCCCGACGACGAGGACTGGTATCGCCTCTGGAGGAGATCCAACCTTGCGTCTATCCCATCTTGCTGCCGCCTTGCGCCATGCGACCGGACCGGGTGGCATATCGGAGACCGCGTTGCAGAGATCTGACGAAGGCATTGGAATTGACGGACGCCATCTGAGGGCCGGAACACAGCGATGCGAGACGCAGACATTGTATACGTGACGGGTCTAGCAGCAGTGTTGGGGGCGCCAGATCTGCTGGAGAGGCATTCGCTTGTTCAAATGCGCCCGTTGAAGTTTTTGGTGTGCGCTGTGCAATAGCAATTGGTGACGCGATGTAACATTTGGATGACGTTGACTGGAGCTCCAAAGCTGAGCTCCAAAGCTCCAAAACTCAAGGCCTTCCAGCTGCCACCAGCTGGTATTCCATACTCCTCGGCTTTCTTACACCTCCACATGTCTCGGTCCTCCCTCCATGTCAATGACAGCCTGTTGAACCCATTGCGACTTAGACTTCACCGATATATACAAAAACAACGATCCCGTTCAGTTCAGTAGGTCGGAATTGCCCTTAGATTTCTGTTTAGCGTGCTAAAACAGCCAGCTTTTCTCATCAGCTTTTGCCTCACCTGGATCCCCTCCCCGCCATTCATTCACGACTACCATGGCCGGCAAGTTCCAACCAAAGGTTCCCGTAGACCTCAATCCTCCCAAGGATGACCCGATATCTTTGGAGGAGCTATCCAAATCAGATGGTAAGTGTCGCTTGCCCCTTGACCCGTAGGGAGTCGATTTCCCTGCATCACTGTCCTGAAGTTCGTGACACGGCACCTCCCTATATGTTTTTTGGACGTGCATGGGATGATTTCTCTCTTCCAAATAGTTAAAGTCATATTCTGACAGTATTGAACCAGGCACCGAGGGACAGAAGGCATATGTAGCTATCAAGGTAAGTCGATGGCTTCACGGCCATTCAGCTCTTCTGACTTCGTCAAATGGGTGCCTACCACCCCCGATATTGCATCACGACTTCGAAGCTCACTGACATGGCTTGATTTTAATAACAATGTGTGCTGACATATATTGCTAGGGCAAGGTCTACGATGTGACTGGGAATAAGGCATACCAGCAAGGCGGATCATATCATGGTAAGCCATAACAGTCCTTCTGTCACTCAATTTTCCACACCAGAACCCACGTAGAATCAAGATACAACAGCGAGTTCACGTCTGCGACGAATTCATCCCGGGGCTCTCCAGTAGCCCTTGTTTGCTCATCAAGAGCAGTCACTGCCTGCAGCCCCGATGTCCCACGTTCATCAACAGCTTCACCGACTTCTGTCGTTCCAAGGCCCAGCCGGCCAGCCAGCACAGCCGCATGTATGTTTGCTAACCTACCTCTGCTCCAGTATTTGCGGGGACGGACGCTTCACACGCGCTGGCGAAGACATCGACGAAAGCCGAGGACGTCAAGCCCGAGTGGCAGCATCTGAACGACACGGAGAAGAAGACGCTGAACGACTGGGTCAAGTTCTTCTCCAATAGGTACAATGTCGTCGGTGTCGTCGAGGGAGCGACGAACATGGAATGAATGAGGGGCGCAACTGCCAGGCGTTCAAGTAGTGTCAGGGGGGCATGCTCCATCGGATGTTGGCTTTCTTCCTTCCTGTCCGCTGCTGTCTGCATAGAGACGTTGTCCATCGGCTGGGGGTGGATGTGATGTCTCACGTATCCAGCCAAGGCAGGATCAATCTATCCACGAGTGTTTGCTAGGTAAAGAACGTGCTTGGAACCAAATACATAACACTGCAGTATAAGTACTCGCGCCAAGCACGACCGCGTCCGCTTCCACTCGCTCCTTGACATACATGCCCATTCAGTTAGTTACATTTGGGCCAACTGCTTGCTCGCGGCCCCTGACGCAACAGTCTGTCTCACAGGAAACGGACCTGGCTCCAGACGCATACATACAGCTCGCTGTCACACAGGAGCCAGATCAGATTCACTCACGCCTGACGAGTGGGGGTCACTCACCCAGGGACACACAACTAGGTACATATGCATGCCAGTGGCCCTGGGCTGTGTTTGTGTCTGTAGCTGGGGAACACGCCACGCGGTGCGGTTACCTCTGTCACTGTACCCATCCCTTATAGACTTTGCCAGAGAGGGTTCTCATATGCGGCCAAGTAGGTAGGCACTGCCGTAAAGCAAGCTCGTTTCGGGTCGACTTGTCTTCGCTTGTTGTCGTGCTGGTTCCTCCCTTCCCCGGCCTAGCTGTGACCAACCCAGCACAACATGATGCAAGCTACGACCACCCGAAACAGTACCTAAATAGGTAGGTCAGTCAGTACTCTCCTGGCGGCTGTGACACGCGATCGTCTTGTGGGGTCAGGCCCGGACGGACGACATGACTGAGCGAGTGGCTGGGATCCCTCCTTCCTCCAGACGTTCACGCATCTCGCCCAAGGTTACCCGCAGACGCTGAACGGGGGGTAGGCGTGGACGTGTCATTGGATGGATATGGGTTCCTTTCCGCGATGGGCTCATGCGAACGCATGTAGCTAGCTGTCGTGGCCTGCTTTTGTCTTTGCGACTCTCCCACGTGTATGGGGCACGTTGTGCTGGCGATCTGCGGGTCAGGGGCCTTACTTGGTTTCTAGACGACATGATGATGATAGAGACACGAAAGCACTGTGCTGATACTCTCTAGGTTAGGCCTCCCCTGATCCTCGCTCTACCAAGATGCTAGGAAGCTCGACGAGCCCACAGTAGCGGTATCGTCTCAGGAGGCTGGTCACTCAGATCATAGCCAGCCACAAGGAGCCCAATTCCGTTGCGATGCCAGGTGCCTCTATCCGCCGCTCAAGTACACAGAAAGAAATCATTCAGATCAGAACGTCGTCACATCTGCATTAGCGATCTGTAAACTACAAATTGTATACACACACAGAACACACACAGACAAAGCCTCAAAAAAGCATCTATAAGCACCGTCCCACAAACAGCTGGCCGTGCGTCCCTGTCCCCCCTTCTCGAAACGACACCAACCTCCTTTTATTTTTTAGGCCTCGCTCAGAAAATGCAACAAACAAAACCCGCCGACTGGTGTAATGAACCTCATCCTCTTGATGGCGGGCGAACGAGCGTTGTGCCCCGAGGCCGGCGCTTGGCGGCCGGCTCGTCCAACTTTGCTCCTAGTAGCCCTCTGCTGGACGCGGGGCCCGCGGGCTCTAGTAAGCCCTGGTGGTAACCGCGCTCAATTCCCGAATGCCGACTGCAGGCCGATGAAGGAGAGCCGTTGGGACCAAGTGGTTCGACACGGCTCAGTCCGACTGCCCGCCCTGGCGCCTCTGGTTTGGCTGTGCTCTCCCTGGCAGCCAGGCAGGCAAGGAAGGAGGGGCCGTTCAGCGGCCCTGTCGGTGATGGTGGTGGTGGTGGTGGCGCGACGACTGGTGGTGCGGCAGCTGCCAGATGATGCCGTTGCGAAGCCGGAGCCCGCTCGCCATGCAGTTGTCACAGAGCTGGCCGTCCTGGTACCACGAGTCCCGCAGGACCTTGACGCCGAGGCATTGATGGTTGGGGTCGTTGCGCGCGAAGTGGCAGTAGGACTTCAGCCGCAGCGTCGAGTGGTTGCAGACGAAGAGGAATTCTTCCCAGTCGCACATCTTGTCTTGGTCTTGGAGTTTCGGGAGGTATCTGTCAAGAGGTTCTGCGGACGTTTTCTTGACTTGGGCCTCGTGTTGTTGCGGAGAATATGTGCTCTAGACGAGGTCAGATGTTGAGTGTGTTTCATGCCTCGAAGAAACGTACATCAGATTCTCGTAGCTCTTTCAATAGTGATGAACATCCCAGGTTCTCGTGTGTTATAAGCGGGAGAATGGAGTAATGAAACGATGAAATCATCACGTCGTTTTCTGGGACGGCGCTTGCCCCTTTATAGTCAACGATGTCGACCCTGCTACCCATATGCCATTATACTGTAAGCCAGGTTGCATCTTGATCTCAAGGAGCAATCAAGGTCCTCAGGGATCTGGGTTGAGAATCGGCGGCAGAGTGGCCATCTCCGCTTGCGAGGACGAAGTCATCGATGTGTAGACGCAGCTTGCCCGTACAAGGGGCAGCTCGCATCGCTCATCATGAGAAAGGTCCACACATATGGCCTCTCTGTGCATATATTCTGATCTGTCATGTTTTCCCCACGCCGCCAGGGCCACGAGGGAAGCCCAAGGATACACGAGACCGCTCGAGAGCTGCGAGGGAACGATGTGGTGGTGCCTCCACAGCATGGAATGGTCCTCTACTCGCATATATATGAAAATCAATGGATCCTTGGCTGTGAATGGAATGAGTGATGCTTCTTCGTGTTCCAGAGTAATCTTGTCTGAATATTTGATGCTCAACCAGAAGGCTGAACTGGCGACTTCAGCTCTTGGACGCGCCATGGTCTATCCGTCGAGCACCACGCGTCACTGGGATGTGTCAAATTCCATGCAGGAAGCATGTCCGGCGTTCCGGATGGGAAGCCGCATGTTCCTCTGCAGAAACACCTTCCCGAGCGAAGCAACATGACAGCTCATAAAAAGTCAACGACCTTCTGTCAAAAGAACGGCAACTCGCCCAGCGAGGCTGGTAACTAGACCCAAGAACCCGGTTGTCGAATCAAAGACAAGATGAACATAACGCTCGAGCCAAAGTGCATCATGGTTTACTTCGCGGAGCGGCCCGAGTGGTGCATATCTGCAGCAAACAAACGAGGGTGTATGTGGAAGTAGGTACCTCTGATTGCTGGAAGAATCTTCAGCCCTAGCTGTTTGGAGAGCTCTGGTGGACCATGTACTTCACTGCGGGCAAGGTACTTCTGATGAGAGCCCTCCGAAATAGCATTTCATGCTTCTGTGTCCGTAGCTTACACCTTCAGGAGTATGGAAGATGTTCTCACTGCCGTGACACAAACCTCCGGAACCTCACGAGTGTTCGTCATTTTCTGTAGCTGTCCGCGGGATGCGTTAATACAGCTTGTACTTGCCTTTTATGTAAGTATGTTTGCTGGTCAGTAGCTTTGCCAAGATAGAAAACACCCAGGTCCAGACGGCCACGGACTGGCACACTCTCCAGCGATTTGGAGACAGATGCATAGACTGGTCATTGAGACGTCAGCTACCACTGCATGATTAAGCCGTTTGCTTCTTGATGTGGGGGCAGACAAGAGTTCTCGCCGGCCACGGTAGTAGATATCGTTGAAGTCACGACAAGTTGCACGGAGCCTAATGGCCACGGAACCCAGTGTTGAACATCTCGATGATGGTGTGTGAGGTCTGTAGGGCCCAAGGTGGAACAGCATGCTACGGCTGTGACGGTGGATCGGATCTGGTTGAAACATGTGGCATGATGCTGCTGTGTAAAACAGTACGGCAGTAAAGCCTCCCACTTTCAATTCGGCAGATCGATTCGGTTGTCAACATCACCATTACTTGTTGGAGCTTGACGGGATGCGATCTGACCTGTGGGTGATGGTACCTGGATTGGGTGCCTTCTCCCAGTCCCTTTCGAGACTCGTCCATATGAGTCTCCCTGGGTTTCTTCTCAAGCGGTCTTCTGGACTGGTCCTCCTCGCATCGAGATTGTTGCCCTTGCCGAGCTCTATCACTCTATTTGGACCAAAGGACTAGACAGTGATGCGACCGAGACACACTTGCGCCAACCACCAAGAACGGCAGAGTCGAGTCGTTGCGTTTCCAATGGCTCTGCACAACATGTTGTCGCAACATAGAGAGAAGAGACGCTGTCTATAGTTGGCAGTACGTCTGGTGAGAAGAGACTACCTTGACCATGCCCAGGGTCAAAGTCCGCGAGGAGACGTCGACAGAGTCCCACGGCCATGCGCCATAGGTGGCGCCATCGTTTGATACTGTGATGAGAAGCGATAACGATACTGATGCAGCGGATACTCCATGACAGCAGCGGCACTGTTCCTGAGCTCGACGATGGTGGCCGTGGCAGAACTCGAACAGATGCTGTCACGTCTGCTCAAGATCTGAATGTTAGGAAGCAAAACGTTGGTCATTGCTGGCGACGAACTATCTCTCAGGCTCTCACGAGTCACAGATTCCCACAATACGGCAGGTACCTGACATATGACTCACCTGCTGAAGGCGATATGCAGCAACTGGAGCGACGCCGTTCTGTGAAGTGCACAATTGGCGACTCGTTTCCCAGCAAGAGAGCACTTTGACTGATTGGATCAATCAATCACTCATCCACTTCATCGTTCGACCGGACAACAAACGACGGTGCTGCATGCAATTGGGTCGAAAGAGCGGCGGATGTTCGGTATCTCGTACAGAACTCGAAGGATACCTTACAGTGTACACCGAAGGTAGGACATGTCCTCATGTCCTACCTTACAGTTGGAGGCCGCAGAGGCTGCAGACAAACAGACATGAAGGCGCCCGGGCCAATGAGGTGACAATTCCGTACCGTCGTTTGCAATCAGAGTGTCGGTACCCACTTCGAATCGCTGGCACCTCCCAGCTTTTTGAAAAACGGGTTTTTTAATAAAATAAGTCGTAACACAACCAATTGGAAAAAATATTTAAAGAGTTTATATATATAAGATATTGTGAGATTCTAGAAGGGTCACAAGCCTTGGGGGTGTGAGCGGTTGTGATGGATCTGACATCCATCCATCCATTCACGGTGGTACGTGCGCTCATCAGGTGATCTGGTGGGGTGGACGCGTTGCCCCGCTGCACTCACTATAGATAATTGTGGAGCGGGATTGAAGATCTAATCCCCCGCCAGAATTGGCTGGTGGTTCTGATCCTTCTTCCCTCCTCACCAGTAGATTCTTATTCATCTGGAGTAATAGATGGGCATCTTCGTCCTGAGCTGCCAGCTGTTCCGTGACAGCGGTCGCTGCAAATGTTGTTATCATTCTCAAGTATGCTTGTCAGGGCTAATCTACAGCTAAATACCATACTGCACCATGCCAGGGTGGATCTACTGTTCCCTTGACAGCCCCCTAGTGGGTACTGTACCTAAGGGCACCATATCTGGGATCCAACATCTGACAGATATATATTTTTATTAAAAAAAATAGCAAGAAAAAACATAAAAAAACCTAAAACAAGTATAACTAAGTTATTTAATATATATTGTCACGGGGCAGATACAAGCACAGGACGAAGATGCCCATCAATCACTCGTATTGTACAAAAATACTCTGGTGAGGAAAGAGAAGAAGGATCTGACATCCCACCAAAATCTGGTGGGGAGATAGATCCTCAGCCCGTCCCACTTTTATCTACCTAGCTGTGCAGCGGGGCAACGCGTCCACCCTACTAAGTCACGTGGTGGGAGCGCACACACCATGATGGATGGCAAATCCATCACATATATACGTTATTATAAGTTAATTTGAAGTTGCGATATATTTAACTTAGTTTTATTTACTGTTTAATTTTTTTATAATCTTTTAAGACATATAGTCTTAATTTATGTTTTATTTCGTTTATAAACTAATATTTGGTTATCTATAAATTATTATAGTGAAAATCGTTATATTACCCTTCTATTACCCCTCTATAGCCTTGACAGAAACCTTCTGGTCAAGCTATTCAAGGCTGGTATGGAATGACATGTGCGACGTGGATGTAAAAGCGTGGAAAATGTACTTTTGTCAACCAGGTCAAAAAGCTGGGAGGTGCCAGCGGTTTGAACTGGATACCGACACTCTGATTGCAAACGACAGTACAGTGCGGGCCGGACGGGACACTTACTAGATTGACCTACCTACGTCCATTAAACGTTGTGGTTTACTAGACGACACTGCGAATCGAGGCAGTGCATCGTACTGTAGGTATCGAAAGAGTCATCGTACACTGTACACGGCACCTCTCGCCAGTGGACGGATGACTGTGGCTCTGTGTCGCGTCCGCCTCACTTTCCTCTCTGCTTCGCCTTCGCCTGCGCCTGCACCTTGCGCATGCACGGTTTGAGGCCTGACGGTTGCCTTATCCAACCCTTGGCACTGCCTTCTTCCCACCCGATTGTTCACATTGACACCCTTTCGTGCTTCATCGCAACTTCGACTCTCTTGCATCGCAACAACAGCCGGTCGCATTTGTTAGCTGCCTCCGGGAGCAACGTCTTCGCTGCAGTCTGTGCAGAGCACCGAGCCAGCCAGCCCCACGACCGACAACCCCGAGATCGCCGAGTACTTGCGGCTTTCCGGGAATAACGTCTAACGGCGACCGAAACTCAATTGCTGCCTCGATTGCATCGCCTCGCCTCGCCTCGCCCTCGACCCTAGCTGCTGCCTGTTTGTTTGACTCCCCCACCAGCTGCAGCGAAACAGGGCGTGCGCAAACGGGCATCGGTTTCGGGTCGTCTCCTAGTGTGTTGTCGTCTTCCCATTGTTAGTTGTTTCCTCGTCGAGACCCTAGTCGACATACCGTCGCATTTGCACTGTGTGTTTTACTCGAGAATACTACCTCGAGCTTGCCTTGCCCTACCCTTGCTCTGGTCTTGTGTGGACGAACTTCACGGCCTTTAAAGATAGGCAACGGAGTTTGATATTGGATTATCACACACCATACTGACCAGCTGGTCTGAAGCCTGCTTGTGGACCACTGTCGCATATCGCCATACCTTAGGGAGTGAGCCGCGATTGGATATTGATACAACAAGAACTTCCTAACCTGGATATGCCGGTTTGAGGAACCCCGGATCCAGACTGTCTCTGTTCTCGCCGGGTCTTCTTTCTTTCCCCATCCCGTGAGAGGCCTACGGCCCCTTTGAATGCACCTGTGGCGGCCGTTTGAGCATGGCCGACCGTCTGGCTCTGACTTCACTCGCGTCTTCCGGTGCATCCAACTTGGAGGCTCATCGACATCCCCTTGAGATGTCTGTGGCCTTTGCCCGCCAGGATCTTGCCGGATTGGACATGAACATGACTATCCCCATTTCCAGTGAAGGGTCTTCAAGGGGCGGCGCCGCCGTTGAGACCCCCCTCTCACTATGGTATGAGAGAAACGACGGCCCATGGATCCCCCAAGGGCTAACATCTGGCCAAGATGACCCTAGAGCTCAGTCTATGGCCTCCAATATGCGAGCCAATTCGCTTGCTTTCCCCGGTCAATATCGCGAGAGTTTCGTGCCGTCCGAGTGCGATACTGCGACCGGAGTCATTCCCTCGGATTCTGGATATGGAAGCTACAACCCCAGGCATAGCGTTGCCAATGGGTCTGTCTGTGAGGAATCGTTTGATAGGAATCCCGAGACTCAAAGGCTCATTGGAGGTATGGGCGATTTAAATTTCCAAGCCTTTGGACCGGAGATGTTGCAGAAGAATGGAATGAACCCGGGACACACATGGGGCCAACCCCAAGGACCCATTCGTGACCGTCATATTCACGTTGAGCCCGCTTTTCTCTGCGAGACCTGTGGGAAGCCACTGAGGACGAATTCGGAGCTGAAGTGAGATCTTCCCATGAGAGCTGTCCCGTTAGCAACCAGAGCCTCTACTTATACATGTCATCATTAGGAAACATAAGCAGAGACATACGAAACCGTTCAAATGCGATGTGGAAGATTGTCCTCGCAGCGAGGGTTTCAGCACGAACAACGATCTGGACAGGCACAAACGAAGCGTACATCCGACAACCCTCTCCGCCGGCAGTCGCTATATATGTCAACATGGCGCCTGCAAGAACAAGGCACCTCCAAAGCTTTGGCCCCGAGCGGATAACTTTAAAGCCCATTTGAAGCGGGTTCATCGTATAGAGAACATGTCAGATGAAGGCCTGGAGGCCTACGTGTACAAGTAAGTGACCGTTGTTCTCGAAGTGAAGGACTACCTTATCCTAACAACACTATCAGTCATGCGCTCCATTCCAACGAGGATGCCGATGTACCCAAGGAAGACCGTGCTCAGGGGTATGGCCAATATAGTGCATTTGCCACCACTGAGCACCCGAGCTATCCGCCGCACTTTTGGGAGACGAACCAGAGTCCAATCATCGATCTTTCCAGAAGGATGAATGCGGCGCAACCGCTGAGCCAGATTCAAGCGGACGAGGCTCTGTCGTTGGCCGATCCACCTAGGGATTTCCCCCCTCTGGATATATCCAGTGCTGATTCAGCATCTTTGGTGCCCCAGGATAATGACGAACTCAGTACGGAGACGTGCAAGCCGACACTTCAACCAATCTCGACCCCGCATGATGGGGATACAGACCAGGATGATGTCTATGAGCAAGGCCTTTGCGGAGGAAGTAATCGAAGCCCTTACTCTAGGGAAGCCGAGGACGAGCCGTGGGTCACCGTTTCCAGTTCTTTCAGCCACAGCGGGATGGCCAGATCAAGTGAACCTCGGACCTGTCCCAGTGCATCCTCAGGAGTTGCTTTCAAGACCGACGGACAATCGGAATGCGCCCTGGAAGCAGATGACAAGGCTGATGCCCCTCATGAGCCTGATGGTCACGATCATGCTAAATCAACGCCCGCAGCCGTGGACCCGAAAAACCAAGCAGCGCTGAAGCAATTCCTTGACAGCCTCGAAAGCGGTGTCCTCGAGTCACTTGGATACAAGAAGGAAACTCCACAGGAATTCGAGGATTCGAAAGCGAAATCCAGTTCTGTATCAGGTCCAGGGCACGGTTATGCATGCTCGGAGCCCCAATGTACTAAGAAATTCGCCCGAAAGTGCGAATTGAAGTGTGTCCTGTCCTCGTTTCCCTTGAAACCTTTGAAGCTGACGTTTTCAGGAAACACGAGAAGAGGCACGAGAAACCATACGGCTGCACCTTCCAGGGCTGCACCAAGAAGTTTGGCAGCAAGAATGATTGGAAGCGCCACGAGAACAGTCAACACTTCATGTTGGAGATGTGGAAATGTGATGAGAAGCATGATAGACTGGTCGAGCCATGTGGGAAAGTCAGCCACCGGCGCGAACTGTTCAGGGGCCATCTCAGCAAAGAGCATCACATCAATGACCCAAATGTCCTGGATGTCAAGCTTGAGACCTGTCGCGTTGGCCGAAACTGCGAAGCTCGTTTTTGGTGCGGGTTCTGCCAGAAGATCATTGCGATCACCCAGAAAGGACTTCAGGCTTGGGCTGAACGATTTAACCATATCGATGACCACTTCTCGGGCCGCAACAACCAAGCGCAGAGAGAGATCAGCGAGTGGAAGAACGTAGACCCTGCCAACCCGCGAGTGGAATCGGTTGATTCGGATGATTCCAGCGATGTCTCCTCCCCTCCGCCACCGCCCGCAACCATTACCAATGTTCGCTACTCTGCGAAAGACGAGAGGCCGCGTCTTCACTCGTCGAAGTCGAAACGGAAAAGAGAGGACGGTTCTGCCCACAGCACCTCGAAGAGGGCCAAAGCTGCGCGCCGATATTACTGCGTAAGGAAGTTTCCCACCGCTGTTGGATACGATCTAACGACTTATCCAGTGTCAATGTCATGAGATCATGTCTGCCACAAGTCGTCAGTGCATGGACTTCGCTTGTGAACATGTATTCTGCGACAATTGTTCTTATTCATGAAGTCATACAGTTTTTGCATATGGGTTTCCTAGGAGTATACCACAGGAGTTGGTTTTTTCTACATTCTTATACCCCAAACCAGACCATATCAGTCCATCGCCGGGCTGCAATACAAATCAACCATGACCTCAAAACTCAGGAGCTTCATGCTCGGCCCGTGATAAAGCCTGTGAGCCTAACGCATTGTATGCACCCTTGATCAAGTCAAACATGCGACGCGGCGTAGCGTTGTTGTCATGCTTGCCATGCGTCAATACGACCGCTTGCCTGTGTACCTGACGCCAATCTCATAAATGGCGTGATCCGATTCCCACGTGCGTCTGAACCAACTACGCTTTCGCTCGGAAGACTTGGCAAGCATGCAATGCAATTCACTAGATGGATCCCATAGCTGCTGCATGCAGACTACGCAGTCTGGGCTATCGACTCTTTATTTGGTTAACCCAGTCACTTTGCTGTCCATACGACGGCCTGATTAGACGAGCGTCTCCAACGCGGCACCTGAGCCATAGGCTGACCGTACAGTCGCCCCCGCCGCAGTCCTACGAAACGAAACGAAACGAATCAGAATGGAACGGAACGATTGGGATGTCTAGACCCGGTAACTACTACATCCCCAGGAGCTTACACACCTAGGTAGGCAGGGGAATCAAGATCACAATGACGCATAGGTAGTAAACATTCAACGGCACTCTCCTCTCATCTAATCTGCTCTCCTCCAAGGGAAACACGAAACCACCTTCGCCTATCTATCTACGTGCAGGCCCAGCTGAAAGTGCACTTTCTTCACCTCCACAACGCCGCAATGGCGCAGGGCATATCTGCTGTTTGATGGCAGGCTAGGGTAGGATAGGGTCTCCGTCGAGTGGGAAGTAGGATCCCGAGATCAGCGAAAGGAAAGGGGAGGCGAGGCAGGCCGGTGCTGCAGGGGGCGCGTACGCACGAGGTCCATCATGGGACTCGTGGTGTTGGAATCCTTTCGGCTCGAAGCGAATTTTGAGATGTGACGTGTGACGAAGACTAGGTAGCAGTCAAGGGGGAGGGAGTATGAACTGGAGGTGTGAGGAAGGGACAAATGCGAAGGGGAAACAGAGAGAAAGTGAGAGAGATAAGAGAGAAAAGTCATACGTACTGCCCATGGCAAACTTGAAACGTAATATCGAGGACGTAAACGTGATTACGCGCTTTTCAGGGGTCACAGCTTGGCCGAGGACACCGGCCAGCCAGCGCTACACATTGACATACACATAGACATATGGAAGGAAGACGCTGTGGGACATCAGAGTAGATCCTCCGGCTCGAAGCGAAGCGAATTGTGGATACTACGCATAACAAAGAGTCGCTAAGCGACCAGAAAGTAGGGACTGGAGGTGTGAGGAAGTGGAAAGGTGAAGAGAGCGAAGAGAGAAAGTCCTACGTGCTGCCTAGGGCAAAGTGGAAAAAAAACCACCAAACGAAAACGAGGTGAACGTGATTACGCGCTTTCCAGGGGTCACAGGCAGATTGGCTGACGGCTCCGACGAGCCAGCGCTACACATACATAGGTTAAGTTAGGTAGACAGAGTGGAAGGAAGACGCGGTGGAACACCAGAGTAGATTGAAATCGTACGTTGGTTTGGGGAAGCAGAGAGCCGATGTACAGCGCGGCGAGGAAATAAGGTAAGGACCATGCTTGATGGCGGGTCAGAGTGAGGGTGAGGGAGATCGGGAAGGGATGCAAGGACCATGCTTCACATCTGTGCTGTGCCTCTTACGTGTGTGTTGAGATGAGGGCACGGGTGGAAGGGGGTGGGTGGATGAGGGTGGGAGAATGCAAATGCAAGGCCCATGTTTTCTGCTGCTGCTGCTGCGATGCTACCAGATACAGCAACGGGTTGGCGTTCTCCAGCTCGTCCGGGGTGTGCGAAGGAAGCAGCCGGTGCAGGTTCCGAGGTACCTATGATGGTTGGCCGGCCTCTGACTTGAGTGAGTTCGTAATCAAAAGTAGGGCAGTAGATAGCTGCGACGGTTTGTTGGTTGGCACGCACGACGTAGGCCGCACGAGACCGGCCAGCCAGAGGTAGGAGAGGTGTAACACCAACCACAAGAAGCGAGGGCCAAACCTTGGTAGAGATGAAATGAGCACCGTCGCGTTTTAGATCCTTCTCTGATACCTGCCCCTTTGATGCATGAGAGGAGCGCGTCTGTGGGCTAATGGGCGTGCTTGTGTATCCGGGTGGTCGGGCATTTGCTCATCGCTCAGGGGCAGGCAGGCAAGGTCGACAGCGCGTGGTGCCGAGGGGGGTAGGGTAGGATCACGGGTCTACCCAGACCAGTCAGTCCACCGCTGGTCCTGGATGTCTTGGACCGACTGACAGATAGGGTGAGATGGTGGTCAGCTCTGGCTCGCTGGCTGACGCGGTGTAACGCTTCAGAGGGAGCAATGGTGGCGTTCGAGGGGGCGGCACACGGGACGCTGATAGGTAGGATATTGTGTCTATCTAGGACTCCGAGGTAGCTAGTTGGCTAGTTTGAGAGAGTTTGATCCGTGTTGAGCTCGCAGTGTTTCTAAATCTGGAGGGAGTAGATCCGCTGCGGAAGGTAGCGAGAGACGCTCGATGCGAATGGATCAACTGTTGATCTGGAAGACGAGGCAGTCAGACCTAGAACGGACTGTCAATCACTGGCACATCCACGATGCACATAATACGCTATTTTCGCACGTGTCCGGCAGGGAGTCTTGGGTTATAGTGCAGCTTGCTACGTATATGTTATAAATAGGTCTGTCACGGGAGACACAGGCCGGAGATGGCTCCCGTTCCGGGCCACTCTGCGTCCATTCAGTGAGACTCAGGGGCCACTCTTCAATCATGGGTCCTAACAAGCATTCAATGGTCCTCTACTTGGTACTGCTGATCTTTGCTGTAGTTTTAGGTCTATCTCGTGGCCTTGTGCATCTGAAACGACGTGCTGTTCTATTACAGGGGCCGTCGATCGATTACTAAAGGGGGCATGGACAATAGGGGTTGGATCGTCATTGAGGAAGAGAGTGGAGATGATGAAAAGAGCGCGGATATGTGCGGACGATGATAAGGATGCGATGAAGAAGAGAAAGTGGTTTTGGCCCGGCCTCGTGATCGTCACTGGTATTGTTGGTACGCTCCCAACCGCTTTACTTCCTTGTCATCGTCGCATCCCCGGAAACGTCGCCGTTATTATCCGGAAACAAGCTTCTTACTACCACTGAAAGATAACATAGATAAGTACCATACAGCTCCAGGCCGATCGTGAGGTAGCATCCTGTGCGTGGGGAAGTTGGTCATACCTAAGACGATTCCGAAGGTGTTGGTTGCTGTTGGTTGCACCAACAACATGTGAGTGCCGGCCGCTTCGAAGCAGCATCGAGGCAGGGTCCTTCACCGCGGCAAATCCAAGGTTTGATGTGTATGGTTGCCAGTGATCAGAGACAGGACGAGGGACAATCTGTCAACGTCTCGCATACTACCCATTCGTCACAATTCTTGACTGCTTTCTTTGGGTGGTATCGAGCTCGACAAGAGCCCTCGTCTCATTGCACGGCACCTTTGGAATAGACAACTCCGCGTCATAATGTTACCCCACAGAGCCTCCTCAGCAGCGAAAATTTTCGACAGTTCACGCAGGCCGGTCTCGACGTAAGCGCGACGTCGTATTATTGGAGTTTTGAGCCTCATAGGCGGGAGAACCATCCACAAGACACACTCGTCGGCATATCTGTGTCGACATGATCACCAGCATGGTGACGCGGCAGCACCGGCGCTGCACGACAACGTCGGCAGGCATCTTGGAGAAATATGCGTACAGAGTTGTGGCCCTCGATTCGCTTGATCGTAAGGACAAGATGGTCTATTAACAGAGGCCCGGTGATGCAGTGTAGATCGAAACCGGTGTGGTTGGGACCGACGACCCGTGGAGCCACCGTACTAGCTGTGTAACAGGAGCTCTACTGCTAATTGCCCTCGAGGTGGCGCTTAGATAGGTGACTCGGCCTCAATGGGGCAGGACCTGCAGGAAAGGCAAGGAACACAGGTCCACCTCAAGCAGGCCCAAAATACCCCCCCAACATGCAAAGTGAAGACGAGGGCCAGAAAGTGTGATTCCGATGAGACCTTGGAACATCTCTCCCGCACATGTTGGATGTGCTGGGGAGGCTCAGCATCACTTACCGGGACGGGAACGCGATTCAACGATGCACTTGCGCGCACAGCCACTTAGGTGCAGAATAGTCCCATACATGATGGGGGCTGTGATGGAGAGAGATGTCTGTGATACTCAACACTGGCCAATCACAGTGGACAAGGCGTGAAGAGACTGCCATAGTCGTTGTCAAGTGCCGATTCCCTTATCGATATGGGGCAGCTCCGGGGCACTGGATATCATAATGGGAAGTCCACCAGCGGTTCAGGCCAATCGCCTGCTAGGCCCCCAACGTCGCGGGGATTGTCATGGTGATTCGGGCAACAGCGATGCTGCATGAATCTATCGCCCGTTCCCGTTGAAGAGGAAAGAGGATAGGTCTAGCAGTATGCCAAATCGTTGACCGCAATTCAAGATGGTAGTCTGGAGTGTGCATCAATGGAAAGAATGGCAATCAGACGAGGCACCCGCATGAATAACACCCAAGCGGTAGCAATCTCAGGCAACGTGTAGATGAGGTTGGTTGGTGTGTTGGTTGGCTGGTTGTTTGCCCGTGGTGATCAGGCAGTCCGGCAACCCTGTCCCGCGTGTCGGTGTCTTAACAGGGCATGACTGACTGGAATAACCTCATGTCTACCTCCTGGTGCGCCTATACCAGACGTCGCAACAGCGACGTGGCTCGTGAGTCATGAATGGGTGCGATTCGTTGCAGACAGGCGACGGGGGGGGTGTGCTGGTGGAGCTGTCTGGATGCCTTCTTTTGGTGGAGTCACGAGTGACGGCGGCCCTCGAACTTCGAAACGAAGACGCCAAACTCGGTGAGGCACGGACCAGGACAATCGATGTCGGGCGGTTGCCTGGCAGCTGCCTGGAGCCTGATGCCGACTCCCGCCCCCCGTCTGTGCCCCTCCCCGGGCCCCGCTAAACCTCAACGTCCCGTCAGTGGTCACAACTCACAAGCACACAGCAGAGTGTCAGTGACAGCACCTGCACCGCGTCCCCCCTTCGATACATGGAAACGAAACAAACGGCCTCCACGTCCACGGCCTCTCCGCGTGGCCCCCATTTCCCCAAGCAGGTCCTTGCGAGGATGCAGACGCGCTGCCCACGTTCGCACCAAGATAGATCATGCCCAGAGAAGTTGCGATCGTCAGCGAATCCCCGGAAGCGGGACAGACTGCCAGTGCTATCGAACCATAGCCGCCCGTTGCGCATTTGCCATTCAGCTCTGACGTTGGTGTGTTGGTGCGCTGTTTGGTGCAAATCCCGAGCGGAACCACTGACCAGTTGGCAGTATGTTGGTGACTCGCCCATGGATTGGCCATTAGCCGACCATGGATTTGGGTATGAAGTACCTATGGTTATGGATACATGTACGGGCACCCAGGCACCCGGCCTGTTGGTTGTGGTGTGCATGCAAGTACTCCAAATTACGTGATCGGCGACGATACGAAGGTGTCCGACTTTTGAGGAATCGCGCCATGTCCTAGGTACGCCCTCCAAGTGTCTTCCTCCTCCAGGCTCGTTGTCCTGGCTCCCTGTTCCCCTCATGCCCAGCGGCATCAGGTAGCGGTCAGCCACTTGCCACAACCACTCTATTCCCATATTTTACTGGTTGGCGTCACCAGAGGGCATTGTGTCGCTAAAATGTCATGCGACATTACTTCCGCCGTGCCTATGATTGGTCTGGACCCGGGCGGAGCGTCCAAGGAGCAGGCAATCCTACACTGAAGCCGGGCGACCATCGTCACAAATTGAGAGGCAATCTCGACACTACCGCAAATCTTGAGGCTCTTCTCAGAGGACACGAGGGTGGCTACGTGACGGTCGAACATGTCCCTCGTTTCTGACGCTGGGGGAATGTTGCCTTGGTGTCCGGTGTCTTCGTGCCTCTCCGTCCGCCTCACCGGAAGTTATCGCTGGTGTTTCTCCACTTCCTTCGGTCTCTGCCATCCACGAGTTCTCCCACATCTCCCAAGCCACGCACAGGATCATTCTTCACAACTTCGGATGTTCGATGCCTTGTTCTGAATCACACCAGGATTACCATGCCAGAAGCCTAGCCCGTTGGCGTTGTCGGCGGGTTTTAGAGATAAAGGCGCCTCAAATGGAAGGGCAACTCCAGCTGGTCCGCGCACCACTTGCAAATGGTTCGCCCAAGGCGAGGTATCTAGTACTTGGGTGTTTGGCCCATTTGGTGCCTTGCACCAGAGATCAACATTCGGTACATACAAGTCCACAGGTCCAACATGCCAGCGGTGTGCTTGCACATGTTACGCTGCCGGGGTGGACAGAAAAAGCAACGACGGCCGCAGCGGCCCCCAGCCACGGCCACACTTGGCACAGATTGGTACAAAGGTACATCATGTGCGGCTCCGCGTGGGTTCTAAGAGGGGGAGAGTGGGAGAGGGATGAGATGCCCAACACAGCGGTAGAGGATTAATTAAGTTGGCTGTCCTCGATGGCTCGCTTGATAAACCCCGAAGCAAAGTGCTTCAAACTGGTTGCTTCGCCTCCTTGCTGCCTACGAAGTGACTTTCTTCACATATGGAACATTATCGTCTCCTTCCATAAGTCTGACTTATACCCCACGGAATCCCATTGTTCACATCGAGCTCTTCTGAGCTTTCTCACATCACCAACACCTGCTCCAGAGGATTGGCCCCCATTCGATACTTGTCTTCGCCAAACAGACCCGGAATTAAGCCCGGTCAGGATACGGCGCCGGGTTAGTGGACTTGATTACAACTCGTTTGACTAAAAGCCCCTGAAGGCTTGCTACTAGGACTTGTGCAAACTCCATACAAAGGAGGCGTTACATACATTTCTATCTCACACACCACACGAGCTTCAAGAGAACTCCGTGAAGATGGATTTTCGTCATATTCCCTACCCGGATCAGATGTCCTATCCCATCTACATTGCCAGTCCGGAAATGGACCTTCCAATGGATGGAGTCATTGATCCAAGTCTCAAACGTTCGGCTTCGCCAGGCACCCTCCCAGTTCATTGGAATCCACCACAGATGCAGCGTTACCTGACAGACAGCAACAAGTCGTCGTTCTTCGGGTATCCGATGGCTGATCCAGTTCTCCCAGGGACTGTAGCCCCATTCCCTTCTTCTCTACTTCAGCGGCAACACTCGCCGTCGTACTCGCACCCGTCATCGACGTGCAGCAGCGCACTCAGCCCGCCAAGGGAGTCCGATTATTGCCAGGTCCATTCGCCGTCGACACCAACGGATGCCCCAATGTCTCCATATTCCACTCAATACGACAACTGCAGCACCCAGGTCCAGCTCTACGAGTTCACCGGTCTGGCTGATGCTTTTGTGAAACCAATTGATGTCAACCCTTACCAAGAGACACCACCTAGCTACTACGAGGAGGCCAGGTTCAGGTCCGACCTCTCCACAAGGACCTACAGCATGTCAAGCGACAGTAGTAACGCGAGTATCGACCAATGTAACAGCGCCGAGCAATATCAAGTACCGAGACACTTGAGCCCTGAAAGCCTCACACCAGAGGTGAAAGAGGAAATCTGCATTCCTGACGCCGACAAGACCTACCATCCTATCGAAGCTGAAGATGATGCTATATCTGGTGATATTGAACCATTCAACCTGAAGAACGAGGATGACGATGAGTATGAGCCAAACAAGAAGCCAAGGCGCGCTGCCACCCGGTCGAATCACAGTACGAAGAATCGCAAACGACCCAGCACCCTGCAACCGACCGCGGAGACTAAGAGGATCAAGCTGGAACCGGACGACTCCAGGACTATCCAGACGCCGGCCAAGCCAGCAATCCAAGGGACCAGGGGGCAATTTCCATGCTCTGACTGTCCCAAGCTCTTCTTCAAAGACGAGAATGGCCTCAAGTCGCACATCAAGAAGCAACACACGCGACCGTTTACTTGTGTCTTTGAGTTCGCGGGCTGTCCTTCTACATTTGCCAGCAAGAACGAATGGAAACGGCATTGCTGTTCCCAGCATCTCATCCTCAACTACTGGGTTTGCCAACAAGACCAATGTGCGAAGGTGTCGAATAACGCCACGAGCAAGTCGACCGTTTCCGCCCGCAACCGCAACAACTCGTCTCGCTGCCATCCCAACGCTACATCGACCCTCCCGAACGGGACGATCTTTAACCGAAAAGATTTGTACACACAGCATCTTCGACGTATGCATATTCCCTCGAGCTTCAAGAAGCAAGTCAAGCAGAAGAAGTCCATCCCTGGGTGGGACGAGCAGGTGCGCGCCCACCAAGAAGAGGCATGCAAGACCAGATGTCAGCTCCCAGGCCACATGCGATGTCCGGCTATCAACTGCAGTATCCGGTTCGACGGCCCAAATGCGTGGGACGACCGCATGGAACACGTCGCAAAGCATCTGGAGAAGGCTTCCACCGGCGCCGAGCCGCCATTGAAGTTCGGGGGAGACAATGACCATACGCTCATGAACTGGGCGGCCAGCCCCGATGTCGCCATCATCAGTCAAGACGACAAGGGCATGTGGGTGCTGCGGAACCCTCTGAAGCCCAACAGCCAACTCCCAAGGAGGGCTCCAGTTCAGGGCAGCGATGAAGACGAGGATGACAATGTCGACGCCGAGGGCGAGGAGATCGACGAGTAAATAGTCGGTCTCATGAGTCCCTCACTGCGTCGGTCCGGAGTGGAGGAATGTTTGGATTTCCATTTCCATTCCTGTTGCTATTTCATTGGACGGAACGAAAACGAAGCAGCAAAAACGTTCCTACGATACCACGTTGCCCCACGACACGATATACCACCACAAAGCGGGCTGTTTCTCACAAGATTCCTTATGTCTGTAATCACCACCAACGTAGATACTTGTTCGCCCAGCATACGGGAGGGATGACGTCGCAACTATCGGAAGCTGTCGACTCTGCGGTGTCTGACGATGGTTATGATTTGATGACATTCACTTAGTAGATACCAAATCAGGCACGCGCCGTGCATGCGCAATGCACCTGTACGCCTCCAATGTTAATCAATCTCTGTTTATCCACAGTTTCCTCCGTATGATATTCCACGATGCCTCCTGTGAGATAGCCACCACCCACACAGCTAAGTGGCTATACCGAAGCAAGCCGCCAATATCATGTCCACAAGCGCAGCCTTCTTCTATGCGCACTGCCTAAACAGGTAGCTTAGTACTGAAACATTCGTATTCCTCGCCTATCGACAATCTCGAGGCGTTCTTTGGGCGTTCTTCAGCCATTCTCCAGGCGTTCTTCGTTCTCCAGGGCATCCTTGGCAGGCTCCGAGGCCAATTGACCTTGTCCCTGACATGACCCTGACATGACTCTGCCTTATCTCGCGCGCGTGTAACCGGTGAAGAAACGCCTTTTTTCGATTTATCATCTTCACTTCAACCTGCATGTGGAGACGGGACGTAGTCAAGGATGCCCTGCGTCGCGCAAACTAAGACCCTGTGCCTGGTATATTTTCTACTTTTGACACTGCGCCACCATTGCCCTGGCGGGACAGATCATGGATGCGGAATAAGTCCCGCTTCTAGAGTTCTGATTCGGAGATGACCGACGGCTCCGGAGTTCGAGTACAGCCTAATGACGCTACTGGCCCAGGCAAAGTTCCTATACGGAATGAACCCGCGATCCCCACTAGGCGCCCCGTCTGGAATAGGGTAACGAATTAAGCACCTTGCGTTTTTCAACTGTTGAATGGGAGCCCGAAATAGACACCGGAAGATCTCCAGTGGGGCAGAGACGCACAGGGCATCTGACCCACCAAGAAGACAGATGATCAATCTCTGTAGGCCGAAGAAGCAGAGCAGAACAAGAAGAAGAACAGAACACACCTGACAACCTAAATAATCTGAACTCGCTTACATCTAACATTGTTGGATTAAAGGTACGCCTAGAAGGCACCTTGACAGGTAGACAACGGAACCAGTTGTTCCGTCCCGATCCAGCCCCCTCTAGCACAAAACTGCCACGGTCGCACAAGGACACTCTAGACAGACGGAATACACACACACACACTTCACTCTGACAATTGGCTCAAATCTGACAAACATCAACGTACTGGACGATTAGCTTATAGCTTTTACTTAAACAATATAAAGATAAAAATATAAGAAACCGCTTTATACGTATTTATTTTATTTGTTTGGTTTTAAAATTGTACGTAATATAAACGTTTATAATAACTTATTTAAAATAAAAGCAAAGAATTTTTTTTCTTATAAGTACCTACGTTATAACCTTTAAAATAAGAAAATTATTTACTTTGAAATCGTATTAGGCTAATATAATACTAACTTATGATACTATCATCATATATTATTATATACTAGTTACGTGACTTTATATAACTAGATAAAGTTATAATTAAATAAGTAAATATATTGCAAGGATACAAGGACCTTTATTAACTATTGACGTATAACGAACTCTTGTTAAAGGAAAAGAAAGATCTGGAGATGCACCCAAATTGGTGGGCAGCTAGATGTGGACAGTCGTCCTCCACCAGACCCATCAGATCATTAATCAACCTATCGTCCAATCAGTCACGTGCTCAGTCACGTGACCCGGGGACTATAGGGACCATCGCTAGACCTGATAGATAGTAGAACCATCACATATATAACTTAAGATAAAATAAAAGTTTAAAATAAATATAAAACATATGGATCTATATTTTAATTTATTCTAAAATAAGAGGGTTAATTTTGAATTATTATGTTTTAATCTTATTTTACGTAAAAAGATTTATAAATAAAACGTATGGATCTATATTTTAATTTATTCTAGAAATCAAAGGGCTAATTTTGAATTATTATGTTTCAGTTTTATTTTACATAGAAAGATTTATATAGCGTATAAAAGTACTGTTAATTATATAACGTCAGATTACCAAAGGTTGACAAGCCGGTGGTGTTGAGCGGTAGCTGCAATCGTTATTATTGAATGAGAGCCGGAGATAGACACCGGAAAATCTTTAGTGGGGCAGAGACGCAAAGGGCATATGACCCACCAAGAAGACAGATGATCAATCTCTGCACGCAGAGTAAAACAATCAATAGAATCAATCAATATCCGTTTATTCAACAGTTATTGTCATATTTAGGTCTGCCACATTAGGTCGCAGCTACAGCTATTTAAATACACCTGGTCATACTGGAGTAGATTCTCCGGACCATCCTTTTCTGAGTCAGTGTATAAGTCACGGTGCTAGTCATAGCAACCACCACGTGTCATGTGACTAGTCAGGTAACTAGTCAGCAGCACACCGCAGTGCAGCCCCCTGAATCTGATATATAAAATATAAAACTTATTAACTTTAACGTGGATGACAAGCGAGCGGCAATTACAAGCGAACGGCAACTTTTCACCAGCCACCTAACCTTTCAATCAAGGCTCTTAATTGATCAACCAACAATAATGGCATTGCGTTATAGTGAATCAGACTTACAGCTTGCTGTCCAAGCTAAGCAACGCGGCCCTCATATTACCATTGGCAAGCTTTCTAAGACTTTCCATGTCCCATATAATACCTTGAAGGTTAGAACCGCCGGCCAACCATCACGGCGCAATAGCATACCTAATACTTTAAAACTTACGGTTTTCGAAGTGAATGCCATTCTTTCCTTCATTCTTGACCTGGATGCGCGAGCATTTCCACCCCGGCACAGTTATGTTGAAGATATGGCAAATCAATTGTTGGCAGCGCGTGGGGATAGACACGTTGGAAAGAACTGGACGCGGAACTTTATTAAACACACACCAGGCCTCTGGATGCGTTTTTATTGAAGGATGGACTACCAGAGGGTCTTGAACAAAGATCCAGACGCGTATCGCGTGTGGTTTTGCCAAATTGCGGTGGCAATCGCAAAACATAGTATCTAAGACGCGGATATTTATAACTTTGACGAGACTGGGTTTATGATGGGCATTATTGGGTCCGGCATGGTCATTACAAGTGTCAAAAGACGTAATAGGCCTAGACAAGCTCAGCAAGGCAACAGGGAATGGTTTACAGCAATTTCTGCTGTTAATGCTGATGGTTGGGTGGTCCCGCCGCTCATCATTCTATAGGGCAAAACCCACCTCGCGTCATAGTATTGTGGCATGACATTACCACACGGTTGGAAGGTGGCTGTGTCCGATAACGGTTGGACTACGAACGAGATTGGGTTGGAATGGATTCGGCATTTCGACAAGTATACCAGACCGCGTATGACTGCCAGTAAACGCCTCCTCATCCTAGATGGTCATGAAAGCCACCATTCCCAGATCTTTGAGGATTATTGCCAGAACAATAGTATTATTACCCTTTGTATGTCTGCCCACTCGCCACACAGGCTCCAGCTTTTAGATGTCAGTTGTTTTAGCCCACTCAAACGAGCGTACAGTCGCATGATTAAGGATCTCATCTGGCGCTATATAACCCACGTTTCAAAGGAGGACTTCCTTGCAGCATTTTGTGAAACACACAATGCTACTATGACGCCAGGAAACATTTGAGCAGGTTTTAGTGCCACTGGGCTTGTTCCTTTTGACCCAGAAAGTGTCATTTTGAAGCTGGATGCTGTCGCTGTCGTACAAACACCGTCGCCAGACCCCAATCTGCCACCCACTACTTGGACTTCAAAAACGCCTACCACCATCAACAAAGCGGTAAACCAGTCGATTTATATCCAAAATCGAGTTAGAAACCACCAGGGAAGCTCACCTACATCAATAGTTGATGCGTTGAGCTCATTTTCAAAAGCTACATACGGTCTTATGCACAAGGTCGCTTTGGTTGATTCCCGGGTCCGCGAGCTAGAGGAGGCCAATCACCTACTAAGTAAACGCCAAAGGACAAAAAACAAACATCTAAGAAAGGAGGAGTACTTTCTGTTGAAGATGCAGTAGGTCTCCAGGCTGTAAAGGATGGTAATGAGCTAGCAAGACAGGAAATGGGTGAAGGTAGTCGTCGTCCGAGGAGGGCGGCAGCGCGTGAGCAAAGTTGTGGCGTTTGCGGCAACACTGGCCATAATATGCGAACTTGTACAATAAAGATAGAAACGTCTGAAAAAGAAGAATCCAATTGATTAGATTGAATTAAATGCATTGTGATCGAGTTATTTGACATGTTAGTTGAAAGGCTGGTAAAAAGTTGCCGTTCGCTTGTAAATGCCGCTCGCTTGTCATCCACGTTATATAACTTCTATAATTAATAGTTTAACATATACTTATTGTATTATAACATTTAATAGCTATATAAATCATGTTTTCTTTTACTTTTAAATATATAAAATTTAAAATTAGTTAAAAGTCTCTACATTTCTACCTTAGTCCCTTTAGTATTGTATTTGCCTAATACGATACTTGTTGAATACACGGATGTTGATTGATGCTATTGATTGTTTTGCTCTGTGTGCAAAGATTAATTATCTGTCTTCTTAGTGGGTCAGATGCCCTTTGCGTTTCTGCCTCACTGGAGATCTTCCGGTATCTATCTCCGGCTCCCATTTAATACACCCCCCTAGGAACAACACTTTCCATTGGGGTTGTTCTTGAGCATTCAGTCTGTTGCTCTTCCTCTTCAAGGTCATCTTTAAGTTTTTGTAGCTTGCCAGCTGCAAGTCTCTCATGGATATCT